GAAGAAAAGGACCTCGGAGTCAGAATCCATCATTCAATTAAATAAATATAATATCTATATATTGCTTTGTTGAGCTCGCAAGCAGCATTAGTAAAGCAGACCATAGTTGCCTACTGAGCTGTTCTATGAGAGTTCTCCCGTGAGAGTTCTACTGTGAGAGTTCTTCTTCTTCTAAGAGAGTTCTTCTATGAGAGTTCTTCTATTAGAAGCTTACCGTCTCCCCTCGCGTCACTCTGAAGCATCAGAAAACGAAACATTAGAAAATGTAAAAGATTCAGAGGGGAAACTCTCACAACACATTTTACAAACGTGATGAAACTTTATTAGCTATTAAATGTGTGCTATTACTTAATGGTGAATGCTAGAACATGAAGTAAGGGGTGATCATCTTAAGTTCTGGTTGAGTGTGCAACTTAAAGTGCATTACAGTGATATGTTGAGTACGTCTCAAGCAAAGCAAAAATGCATTGCAAATGAAGGGTCCCAAACTGTGTATGAGCTCCCCCAATGGTAACAAGCTCTTCTTCTCTATATTAGTTTAAAATAAAACTAGGAAATAAATAATTAACATCATGAAATAAATTTCACTCACATTTATTCATCCTAAATATGTAAATTTTGTGTTTTGTTGCTTTTTGCAGTTATTGTGAATTATTAATATAATAATAATAGTAATAATAATAATAATAATAATAATAATAATAATAATAATAATAATGTTTATTTTAAGAAAAGTCATACATACAAAATAAGTTACAAGCAAAATGTTGGATTTCTAAATAGAACTAGAATATACTATGCCTAGAGTCTCTATGGCACAGCAGTAAAGCACTCTTTTGGCGTTTCGCGAGCGCTTTTGCCTGGGTTCGTATCCTGGCCGGGAAGGATTGACTGCGCGCCAATCCTTAAATGTAGCATCTGTTCACCCAGCAGTGAATGGTTACCTGGGGCCAGATTCACGAAAGTACTTACGCAAACACTTACGAACCTATACATCTTTTCTCAATCTTTGGCAGGTTTTGATTACAATTATTAAACAAGTAATGAGCTCCGAAGCACCAGGAGGCTGTTTATAACAATAACAACAGTTGATTGGCAAGTTTTCATGCTTGTAAACTGTTTAATAAATGTAACCAAAGCCGTCAAAGATTGAGGAAAGATGTACACGTTCGTAAGTATTTGCGTAACTGCTTCGTGAATCTGGCCCCTGGTTGTTAAGACGATTTGGCGGGTCGTATATTCAGGAGAAAGTTAGGATTAAGATCCTGCCCAAAACGCTGTATGCTAGTGGCTTTACAAGACTGTATATTGCATATATAAATAAATAAAGCCACTAATACGCACAACGTTTCGGTCATTAAATAATAATAATATTTTGTCAGAGTAATATACACAGGCAACCAGTGTATTGCCTGTGTATATACACTGGCAACCAGTGTATTGCCTGTGTATATACACTGGCAACCAGTGTATTGTCTGTGTATATACACAGGCAACCAGTGTATTGCCTGTGTATATACACTGGCAACCAGTGTATTGTCTGTGTATATACACAGGCAACCAGTGTATTGTCTGTGTATATACACTGGCAACCAGTGTATTGCCTGTGTATATACACTGGCAACCAGTGTATTGTCTGTGTATATACACAGGCAACCAGTGTATTGTCTGTGTATATACACAGGCAATACACTGGTTGCCTGTGTATATACACTGGCAACCAGTGTATTGCCTGTGTATATACACAGGCAACCAGTGTATTGCCTGTGTATATACACTGGCAACCAGTGTATTGCCAGTGTATATACGCTGGCAACCCGTGTATTGCCAGTGTATATACACTGGCAACCAGTGTATTGCCTGTGTATATACACTGGCAACCAGTGTATTGCCTGTGTATATACACTGGCAACCAGTGTATTGCCCGTGTATATACACAGGCAACCAGTGTATTGCCTGTGTATATACACAGGCAACCAGTGTATTGCCCGTGTATATACACAGGCAACCAGTGTATTGCCTGCGTATATACACTGGCAACCAGTGTATTGCCTGTGTATATACACTGGCAACCAGTGTATTGCCCGTGTATATACACAGGCAACCAGTGTATTGCCTGTGTATATACACTGGCAACCAGTGTATTGCCTGTGTATATACACTGGCAACCCGTGTATTGCCTGTGTATATACACAGGCAACCAGTGTATTGCCTGTGTATATACACTGGCAACCAGTGTATTGCCTGTGTATATACGCTGGCAACCAGTGTATTGCCTGTGTATATACACTGGCAACCAGTGTATATACACTGGCAACCAGTATATTGCCTGTGTATATACACAGGCAACCAGTGTATTGCCTGTGTATATACACAGGCAACCAGTGTATTGCCTGTGTATATACACTGGCAACCAGTGTATTGCCTGTGTATATACACTGGCAACCAGTGTATTGCCTGTGTATATACACTGGCAACCAGTGTATTGCCTGTGTATATACACTGGCAACCAGTGTATTGCCTGTGTATATACACTGGCAACCAGTGTATTGCCTCTGTATATACACAGGCAACCAGTGTATTACCTGTGTATATACACAGGTAATTGTAATGTTGTTTGTGCCTTTCATAATTAAATGTCAAAGTTTTCAGGCAATTTGCCGAATTTCTTGAATAATTCATATATATGTTAGCTTATTCCTCGTTTAGTAGTGATATAATAGCTGACTCCTTGTTGGAAATTTCCAACACTTAATTACTAATCCCTAGTACACTAGGATGTATTTCCTGTACTAGGCGTCATAATCATCTAATACTTAATTACTAACCTTTAGTACTTCAAAAAAGTAATTCTTGTATTAACCATTATATTTTACTAATATTACTAACCAGTAGTGTAAATACATTAATTCATATTATTCTGCGTAGTAAGTATGGCAAAAGTTTCCCAGTATTTATGGTCGGGTTGCGTCAGCTCACATGACTGAGGGAAAAACATTTACATTTGCGAGAATTGTGTTAAATTCTCCTTTATTTCAACATTCTTTTACAAGAATTATTAGCTGATAATATATTCACCCTTGATCCAGTAATATAATATTGTTTGCTGAGATCACTTTACACAGTTATGAACTGTTTTCACAGGGCATTCATGGAGGAATGAATTTTCTCTTTAGTCTTTTCATCTATGTGAACTTCGTTTCATAATAATTGTTACATAGTAAGAATTTAATTAATACTAGCTTTCTTATGATAAACCTTGTCTTTGTTATCTCGCATAGTTGGGCAAATTATAGGAGTTATTTTCTCCGTTCCAACACTCCGTGCTGCCGCGCATGCGCGGGCGAGACAGAGAAGGAGAAGGGGGAGAAGCAGCCATAGTTCTCAGAGAGAGAATCTAGATTTACCGTCTCGTTATTGCGTCATCCTTGCTACTGCAGACGTTAGCGTGACGGAGCAGCTTCACCATTTCTCAGACACCAGCATCGGCAAACTCTAAGGCCTTTATTACTTTTATTGTTCGTGAAACAATATAATATAAGATATGACGTTTGTCGTCATACTGCATGCGCACTAAAAATTAACCAACCCGTTCTCGCAAATTCGTAAAGTCAATATTGACTTATTAACTACGTGCTTAGGTGATATACTAAACATAATAGATACCACTAAAAAGATTCATAGAAAACACCGACCTTACCTAACCTTGTTAGTATCTTAAGATAAGCATCTTATTGCTTCGTAATTACAATTATTACTTAACCTATACCTATTATAGGTTAGGTAATAATTGTAATTACGAAGCAATAAGATGCTTATCTTAAGATACTAACAAGGTTAGGTAAGGTCGGTGTTTTCTATGAATCTTTTTAAGGGTATCTATTATGTTAAGTATGTCACCTATGCACATATTTAATAAGTCAATATTGACTTATTAAATTTGCGAGAACGGGTTGCAACTAACAAGTGAGTTTTATTTCAGGGCGCTCTCGCGTTTCATTTAGAAATATGTGTGGTATCATATCTCTTTAGATAGTATTTACATACTGCCCGTAATTCAGTTTAACTGAATGATTTCTTATGATAAAATTTATATATGCATTCATTATTCTCATCATTTATGAAATTTATTATACATTAATAGATTTATTATATTCATCAGAATTTAATTGTATTTAATCATAGAGATCCATAGGTCACTAGTTCTCTAAATTATTTATCTTTTTTAAAGAGTGGTCCTTCGAGCATATTAGAATTATACATTATTTTATTAGCATATAATCTAGAGCCAAATTTCCCAACACTCCTCGTTTATTTATATGTTAACTTACTCCTCGTTTAGTAATATATGTTAGCTTACTCCTCGTCTTATAATATATGTTAACTTACTCCTCGTCTTATAATATATGTTAGCTTACTCCTCGTTTAGTAATATATGTTAGCTTACTCCTCGTTTAGTAATATATGTTAGCTTACTTCTAGCTTACTTACTTACTTCTTTTCTTACTTATTTCGAACATTTATGCATTGATTTTTTGGCTTTAAATTCTTACTAATCATAACCCTCAGATCCCTGAAACTTTTGAGATGTTAAACACGTTTCGCAAGCGTTTTGGCGTTCGTATCCTGGCCGGGGAGGATTGACCGGGCGCCAATCCTCAACTGTAGCCTCTGTACACCCAACAGTGAATGGATACCTGGTTGTTAAATGATTAGGATCAAGGACTTGCCTAAAACGCTACACGTGCGTGTGACTTTTACAAGAATGTAAGAACTCTTGTATATATGAATACATAAATAAAATAAAAATAAACTTAGGTGTTCCTTGCCTGGGAGCCGGGCCGAGCACCCTTACCAAGATAGGCTGTTGTTCTAGTTGGTGTTACACTGTAAGCCTTTACCACAGTTTATTGAGTAATTAGGGGTGATTTTAATTTGTTATATTCTTCATACGAATACCCATTTGCATCCCCATTTGACCACCCATAACACTTGCGTACCTGGAAGAGACGGCCTGTAGAGGAGACCAGCGCAGCCTCGACCCCAGCTCTGGTGTCGTCGCTGCTTCCCGTCGCCAACAAGTTTCCTGAAGAAGGGGCCTCGTGTCAAAGCATTCACACACAAACATTATACAAATAATCACTGAAAATGGAAGATTTTTACCGTCAGTAACCACTATGCAAATTATCAGCAGAGATTACCGAAATGCAGATTTTTGGATCATGTGTTACACTTTGAACTGTAATGTTAATAACTCTGTAACCTTAATTTTTACTCTGAATAAGAAATGAAGATTGTAAACAGATCTTTGTATTCTGATTCGTCGTCACTGACGAACGAACAGTAGAAACTATAAGGATGTCTAGGAATATCCAACTGACGAAGAGGTTCTTACCGATGTTGTGTCCCCTGACGAAGGCTTCGTGGGAGCTCCTGAGGGCGTCACGAGTGTTGAAGATGGACTCCCGATGCCTGGTATGGGCCCAGGAGCTTCCTGCCAGGGTCGTTGCGTCCCTCGTCACGTGCCCAACACGTCCCCTCGTCTCCTCGTTCCTTGCCAAGTGTCTCATGCCTTCCCTCGTCTCATTGTCCCTCGTCACGTGTTGTGCTTCACCCATATCTCTGCTCGTCTCTCCACTTCCTACCTCTGCATCTCGTGGGGTAACCTGGTGGCCACAGCTGGAGCTGGACGGGTGGCCAACACGTGGCTGTAGGATACATGTGTCCTCTGTACAATCCGTCGCAGCCAACTGCAACTCTTTCATGGTTTCTCGTGGTTGAGAACCGTCGCTGGCGGAGCATGTTTTCTGGTCAGACACAGTGTTGAGATCAAATGTTGAATCCGCAGAGTTATTATAAGAAAGCGATACTCTGCTTGTGTCGGGACGTGTGTACTTACACTCCCTTATGCTACAGTTTTGAGCAGCAATCTGCACCACCCCTGTACTCTCATGGGCCGGGGAGTCAGGCAAAGAGGACGGACTGAGGCTCGAACAGGAAGAACTTGTGTCTGGATCCTCAAATTCTGATGTGGGTTCTAGAGCATCACATTTCACTATCTGACTAAGCGACAAACTTTTCACTAATGGTGAATTACATTCTAAAAGTCTTTGAACTTCTCTGCCCTTCTCAAATATCGGAGAAATGGAGCTCACACTCTCCTCTTCAAACAAGCTTTCGTGACTGTCGCCATCAGCCAAACTTGACTCTTCCTCGACCAGGCTGGTTTCATCTGGAGTTTCTACGTTGAGTTCGTCTACGCTCTCGTCCTGCTCGGACGAGTTGCTGGAGGCCTCTACTTCCTCCTGCCAGTCTTCATCCTCAATGATCCTTCGTCTGGCCTCCTCCATCCACCTCTCGCCGAACACTGGCACTCCAGCGGGAGGAGTGTCATTGTTATTATCGACACCATTCATGTTCCTCGTCACTCCATTGTTTAGTGTCTCGCCCACGTCATCGTCGTCATCTGACGGGCTGTCGTCTGGTGTCCCCTGTGAGCGGCTCGCCCCCACCAGGCTATGTCGCTCGTACACTGATTCAAAATCGTCTGTTTCAAATTCCATATTTTCTAACATTTCTTCGATGTCTGAGTCATTGTGTTGGTGAGAGTTGTGGTGAGCTACGAGCTGTCGCAGGTAGGCTTGGCCCTCGGCGTCAGAGTCCACCTCCAACGACGGTCGTCTTTCTACAACCTCAACAGCGTCCCAGATCTCTCCAAGCAGCTCCTCGTTGTCTTGAGTTAGACCACTACTTGACTGCCCGTCTTCCGACGCTGAGCTGTGGATCTTAAGGAAATTGTGACAGCTGTTAAATAACAATTGGTCATCTTCCGTCTTGTGTGCGCAAGCTGAGGACCAGCTCGAGCAGTTATCTTCAATACTAGCCTCGGATTTCGATAATATGGAAGAGTTCTCCGGAAGGAGTTTACTTTTGTCTAAGACTTCGGACACCAGTGGCTCTTCCACAGAGTCTTTTATAGCCGACGGTAAATTGATCTGCTCATCATCAATCACTTCTTTCAAATCTTTAGAACTGCTTTGGGATACAACTTCTTGACAGGAGTAAAGGTTATTTACAGTTTCAGTTTCCTTAGAATCAATTGCCTCTCTCACGCCAGTAACATTTGCATCCTCGTTGGATTCCTCTATTTCCTGAATTCGTTTCAAGCCACTAAATTCTGTTTCATCTGACAAGTTTTCGAGAAGTTTGTTGAAGGCCTTGTCATCTGGGAAGTCATCCTCTTCTTTGCACTCCAGGTCCTGGCTCTGAGAGACGTCAGAGTCACTACAAGTGATGCCACTGTCGTCGTGGACTACAATATCATCGCTGTTCCATGCCTGGTTCTCAGCCTGCACTCTCGCCCTCAACTTCTGCACTCTGCTCTGGGCCCAGGCTTTAGCGGCAGGAGTAAGAGCATAGATCTTTTCTGTGCCGGTGTCCTCCACATAGATGCCCATGTCTGTCTGTGAGGGGGTGTCCGCTGGGCCCCTCGCCGCTCGTGCAGCCAACACCCTCTCACGAAGCTTCAACACGTCTGCAGCAAAACAAAGTTACATCTTGCGGGATTCCGAAGTTAAAAAGATTCAGGAAAGTTGCTAAATTGCGTTATATTCATTTGAGTGGAATATAATTTTGTTTTTATGATAAGAAAGATAAATCAAGGCGAAAGTTGGGTTGGTAAGTAGTAATTATCAGAAGAAGCCGGGAAGACTATGTAGCATATGGGTTGATAACTTAGTGATGACTTGAGGTCAGTCTTGTACCAACACTTCTGGGTGAGAGTTTGGCTACTACTCTCACACCAGTTTTGGGTGATGGCCACCTGAGTGAAAGTAAAAAATGGTTGGATAATACCGATACAAAGATAAGTAAATCAACAAAATAGTTAGGTAGGGCGGGAGAAAGGCATGAGCAGCAACAACCCGTGAGAGGAAGCATCCCAGGTGGGAAAGCATCTTTAGGATGCAGCCTCCGAGGATATAAGGAATAATCCTGAGGGGAAAATGCAGCATCCTTGAGGAGGTAGTAGAGTTACCGTGACTCACCATTGACACAGTCTCGCTGGCGTTGGTAGTCCCGTTCGGCCCACTCCCTCCTGGTCCGCCTCTCAGCCTCCAGGCCGCCCTCGCTCCTGCGGGTGTAGGGTGACCTGACCTCTCAACACAGGTGATCTTCTCACGCTACAAATAACCAGGATGCTTAACACTAAATAACTTTACTCAAGACTTCAGGCATAGGTCTAACGGGGCCTCGTAGCCTGGTGGATAGTGCGCAGGACTCGTAATTCTGTGGCGCGGGTTCGATTCCCGCACGAGGCAGAAACAAATGGGCAAAGTTTCTTTCACCCTGAATGCCCCTGTTACCTAGCAGTAAATAGGTACCTGGGAGTTAGTCAGCTGTCACGGGCTGCTTCCTGGGGGTGGAGGCCTGGTCGAGGACCGGGCCGCGGGGACACTAAAGCCCCGAAATCATCTCAAGATAACCTCAAGATAGGTCATCCATAGACGTTCCTCACACATACTACCTCTCATACTTACCTGAAGTCCATAATCTCAATAGTCCTCAATGGACACAAGAAAGCGGCGGTATGTCTTGGGCCCGCCAGTTGGTCCTGAAGAATTTATATATTTTTTAGCTTAATTTTGAACTGCAGGCATTTATGGCTTTAGTGGATAATGCAGTTCGATGGATTTATTACCCAATGTGAAAAATCCTCTTCTGTTTCGTGTCCACTGTGGCATTGTGAGCGTGAAGTTGTCACACTCCGATGATTCTCAATGACAACTTTCTTTCCACAAGTCAAAGGGTCATTTGGTTCTTCCTAACGTTTTTTTCCATTTTGCCTCAGCTCCTACAACCTGAGCACTATGTCCAGGGGTCATTCCACTATGACCCCCTGAACACTCCACTACTTCTGACCCCTGAACACTCCACTACCTCTGACCCCTGAACACTCCACTACCTCTGACCCCTGAACATTCCACTACCTCTGACCCCTGAACACTCCACTACCTCTGACCCCTGAACATTCCACTACCTCTGACCCCTGAACATTCCACTACCTCTGACCCCTGAACATTCCACTACTTCTGACCCCTGAACATTCCACTATGACCCCTGAACACTCCACTTCCTCTGACCCCTGAACACTCCACTACCTCTGACCCCTGAACATTCCACTACCTCTGACCCCTGAACATTCCACTACTTCTGACCCCTGAACATTCCACTATGACCCCTGAACACTCCACTTACTCTGACCCCTGAACTTTCCACTATGACCCCTGAACACTCCACTACTTCTGACCCCTGAACATTCCACTATGACCCCTGAACACTCCACTTCCTCTGACCCCTGAACATTCCACTACCTCTGACCCCTGAACATTCCACTACTTCTGACCCCTGAACATTCCACTATGACCCCTGAACACTCCACTTCCTCTGACCCCTGAACATTCCACTACCTCTGATCCCTGAACATTCCACTACTTCTGACCCCTGAACATTCCACTACCTCTGACCCCTGAACACTCCACTACTTCTGACCCCTGAACATTCCACTACTTCTGACCCCTGAACATTCCACTACCTCTGACCCCTGAACATTCCACTACCTCTGACCCCTGAACACTCCACTACTTCTGACCCCTGAACATTCCACTACCTCTGACCCCTGAACACTCCACTACTTCTGACCCCTAAACATTCCACTACTTCTGACCCCCGAACATTCCACTACCTCTGACCCCTGAACATTCCACTACCTCTGACCCCTGAACACTCCACTACTTCTGACCCCTGAACATTCCACTACCTCTGACCCCTGAACACTCCACTACTTCTGACCCCTGAACATTCTACTACCTCTGACCCCTGAACATTCCACTACTTCTGACCCCTGAACATTCCACTACCTCTGACCCCTGAACACTCCACTACTTCTGACCCCTGAACATTCCACTACCTCTGACCCCTGAACACTCCACTACTTCTGACCCCTAAACATTCCACTACTTCTGACCCCCGAACATTCCACTACCTCTGACCCCTGAACATTCCACTACCTCTGACCCCTGAACACTCCACTACTTCTGACCCCTGAACATTCCACTACCTCTGACCCCTGAACACTCCACTACTTCTGACCCCTGAACATTCTACTACCTCTGACCCCTGAACATTCCACTACTTCTGACCCCTGAACATTCCACTACCTCTGACCCCTGAACACTCCACTACTTCTGACCCCTGAACATTCCACTACCTCTGACCCCTGAACATTCCTGACTGAACACTACTTCTGACCCCTGAACATTCCACTACCTCTGACCCCTGAACACTCCACTACTTCTGACCCCTGAACATTCCACTACTTCTGACCCCTAAACACTCCACTACCTCTGACCCCTGAACACTCCACTACCTCTGACCCCTGAACATTCCACTATGACCCCTGAACATTCCGCTACTTCTGACCCCTGAACATTCCACTACTTCTGACCCCTGAACACTCCACTACCTCTGACCCCTGAACATTCCACTACTTCTGACCCCTGAACATTCCACTATCTCTGACCCCTGAACATTCCACTACCTCTGACCCCTGAACATTCCACTACCTCTGACCCCTGAACACTCCACTACTTCTGACCCCTGAACATTCCACTACCTCTGACCCCTGAACATTCCACTACTTCTGACCCCTGAACATTCCACTACCTCTGACCCCTGAACACTCCACTACTTCTGACCCCTGAACATTCCACTACTTCTGACCCCTGAACATTCCACTACCTCTGACCCCTGAACATTCCACTACCTCTGACCCCTGAACACTCCACTACTTCTGACCCCTGAACATTCCACTACCTCTGACCCCTGAACACTCCACTACTTCTGACCCCTAAACATTCCACTACTTCTGACCCCCGAACATTCCACTACCTCTGACCCCTGAACATTCCACTACCTCTGACCCCTGAACACTCCACTACTTCTGACCCCTGAACATTCCACTACCTCTGACCCCTGAACACTCCACTACTTCTGACCCCTGAACATTCTACTACCTCTGACCCCTGAACATTCCACTACTTCTGACCCCTGAACATTCCACTACCTCTGACCCCTGAACACTCCACTACTTCTGACCCCTGAACATTCCACTACCTCTGACCCCTGAACACTCCACTACTTCTGACCCCTAAACATTCCACTACTTCTGACCCCCGAACATTCCACTACCTCTGACCCCTGAACATTCCACTACCTCTGACCCCTGAACACTCCACTACTTCTGACCCCTGAACATTCCACTACCTCTGACCCCTGAACACTCCACTACTTCTGACCCCTGAACATTCTACTACCTCTGACCCCTGAACATTCCACTACTTCTGACCCCTGAACATTCCACTACCTCTGACCCCTGAACACTCCACTACTTCTGACCCCTGAACATTCCACTACCTCTGACCCCTGAACATTCCACTACTTCTGACCCCTGAACATTCCACTACCTCTGACCCCTGAACACTCCACTACTTCTGACCCCTGAACATTCCACTACTTCTGACCCCTAAACACTCCACTACCTCTGACCCCTGAACACTCCACTACCTCTGACCCCTGAACATTCCACTATGACCCCTGAACATTCCGCTACTTCTGACCCCTGAACATTCCACTACTTCTGACCCCTGAACACTCCACTACCTCTGACCCCTGAACATTCCACTACTTCTGACCCCTGAACATTCCACTATCTCTGACCCCTGAACATTCCACTACCTCTGACCCCTGAACATTCCACTACCTCTGACCCCTGAACACTCCACTACTTCTGACCCCTGAACATTCCACTACCTCTGACCCCTGAACATTCCACTACTTCTGACCCCTGAACATTCCACTACTTCTGACCCCTGAACATTCCACTATGACCCCTGAACACTCCATTACTTCTGACCCCTGAACATTCCACTACTTCTGACCCCTGAACATTCCACTACTTCTGACCCCTGAACACTTCACTATGACCCCTGAACATTCCACTACCTCTGACCCCTGAACATTCCACTACCTCTGACCCCGTGAACACTCCACTACCTCTGACCCCGTGAACATTCCACTATGACTCGTGAACACTCCACTACCTCTGACCCCTGAACACTCCACTATGACCCGTGAACACTTCACTATGACCCCTGAACATTCCACTATGACTCCTGAACACTCTACTATCTATGACCCCTGAACACTCCACTATGACCCCAGGAACATTCCACTATGACCCCTGAATACTCCACTACCTCTGACCCCGGGAACACTCCACTATGACCCGTGAACATTCCACTACCTCTGACCCCGGGAACACTCCACTATGACCCCTGAACACTCCACTATGACTCCTGAACACTCCACTATGACCCCTGAACACTCCACTATGACCCCAGGAACATTCCACTATGACCCCTGAATACTCCACTACCTCTGACCCCGGGAACACTCCACTATGACCCGTGAACATTCCACTACCTCTGACCCCGGGAACACTCCACTATGACCCCTGAACACTCCACTACCTCTGACCCGGGAACATTCCACTATGACCCCTGAACATTCCACTACCTCTGACCCGGGAACACTCCACTATGACCCCTGAACATTCCACTACCTCTGACCCCGGGAACACTCCACTATGACCCCTGAACACTCCACTACCTCTGACCCCGGGAACACTCCACTATGACCCCTGAACACTCCACTACCTCTGACCCGTGAACACTCCACTATGACCCCTGAACACTCCACTACCTCTGACCCGGGAACACTCCACTATGACCCCTGAACATTCCACTACCTCTGACCCCGGGAACACTCCACTATGACCCGTGAACATTCCACTACCTCTGACCCGGGAACACTCCACTATGACCCCTGAACACTCCACTACCTCTGACCCCGGGAACACTCCACTATGACCCCTGAACACTCCACTACCTCTGACCCCGGGAACACTCCACTATGACCCCTGAACATTCCACTACCTCTGACCCGTGAACACTCCACTATGACCCCTGAACACTCCACAACCTCTGACCCGTGAACACTCCACTATGACCCGTGAACACTCCACTATGACCCGTGAACACTCCACCACCCAAGCCGGCCACAGCCAGGAGCAAGCCGCCACCTACCAGGCCTCAGCGGCGGCGCGGTCCACAGGGAAGACCGGCCGGTCGTCCAGGTAGGTGAGGTTGGCGCAGGTGACGACCAAGGTGTTCCTGTAGGCCCTCACTTCCCGCACCGCAGGGTTCCCCGTCAGCTGCACCACCCGCAGCCCCCGCATGCTCCCCAGCACCTGCGGGGAGGGCCCGGGGGCGTCAGGGTCTTGCACTAACGCCGCCACAGACTCAATGATAGCCCTCTTTAGGAACCCGTCCACGGGATCGTACGTTATGGGTTGTTAGGGCGCACCACCTTTAAAAGCAGACGGCTCTGGCTTCGTTTGCTCACGGGGGCTATGTTGGTTAGTGGGGCTATGTTGGTTAATTGCGGCTATGTTGGTTAATTGCGGCTATGTTGGTTACTTGGGGCTATGTTGGTTAGTGGGGCTATGTTGGTTAATGGGGCTATGTTGGTTAGTGAGGCTATGTTGGTTAATTGGGGCTATGTTGGTTAGTGGGGCTATGTTGGTTAATTGCGGCTATGTTGGTTAATGGGGCTATGTTGGTTAATGGGGCTATGTTGGTTAATTGGGGCTATGTTGGTTAGTGAGGCTATGTTGGGTAGAGAGGCTATGTTGGTTAGTGGAACTATGTTAATTGCGGTTATGTTGGTTAATGGGGCTATGTTGGTTAATGGGGCTATGTTGGTTAATGGGGCTATGTTGGTTGAGGATGGAGTCTATATTGGTTAGGGGTTGCTTTATTGACCAGGGATCAATAGTGTTCACGGAACTAAATGGTTTAGATGGCAATATGGATTACGGTCTCTAGCTGATGACATGCCAACCTCAGCAATACGTAAGTAGTTAAGGGCTTTAGAACAACCCAACATTAACCTTGGCCAAACCCTCTTTACAACCACCACCATCGGTGTAACGCCCGTCTGGCTGACAAGGAACTGGGGAAGACTTGGTCAGGTAGAGAGACGTCTCTAAGATGTTTACTGTGACGAGGTAGAGATAATTATGACCATCTCCGCGCCCAGAGCCTCCGGCTCCATGAGTATGTGTGTAGCACATGGGTATGTATATAGCACATGGGTATGAGTGTAGCACATGGGTATGAGTAGCACATGGGTATGAGTGTAGCACATGGGTATGAGTAGCACATGGGTATGAGTAGCACATGGGTATGAGTAGCACATGGGTATGAGTGTAGCACATGGGTATGAGTGTAGCACATGGGTATGAGTGTAGGACATGGGTATGAGTGCAGGACATGGGTATGAGTGTAGGACATGGGTATGAGTGTAGCACATGGGTATGAGTGTAGCACATGGGTATGAGTGTAGCACATGGGTATGAGTGTAGCACATGGGTATGAGTGTAGCACATGGGTATGAGTGTAGCACATGGGTATGAGTGTAGCACATGGGTATGAGTGTAGCACATGGGTATGAGTGTAGCACATGGGTATGAGTGTAGCACATGGGTATGAGTGTAGCACATGGGTATGAGTGTAGCACATGGGTATGAGTGTAGCACATGGGTATGAGTGTAGCACATGGGTATGAGTGTAGCACATGGGTATGAGTGTAGCACATGGGTATGAGTGTAGCACATGGGTATGAGTGTAGCACATGGGTATGAGTGTAGCACATGGATATGAGTGTAGCACATGGGTATGAGTGTAGCACATGGGTATGAGTGTAGCACATGGGTATGAGCGTAGCACATGGGTATGAGCGTAGCACATGGGTATGAGTGTAGCACATGGGTATGAGCGTAGCACATGAGTATGAGCGTAGCACATGGGTATGAGTGTAGCACATGGGTATGAGTGTAGCACATGGGTATGAGCGTAGCACATGGGTATGAGTGTAGCACATGGGTATGAGTGTAGCACATGGGTATGAGTGTAGCACATGGGTATGAGTGTAGCACATGGGTATGAGTGTAGCACATGGGTATGAGTGTAGCACATGGGTATGAGTGTAGCACATGGGTATGAGTGTAGCACATGGGTATGAGTGTAGCACATGGGTATGAGTGTAGCACATGGGTATGAGTGTAGCACATGGGTATGAGTGTAGCACATGGGTATGAGTGTAGCACACATATAAATTGGTGAGAAACTACCTGTGAGTGTGACATCTGGGTATGTGGGAAGCTCTGGAGTATTAGTAAGGGCAATGTGACCCAAGAGGTCATCAGGGCATGGTAATCCAGGTGGGGTCTCACAAGGGCAAGATAAATTAATATACTCTAATATATATTTTGTGTATTTATGTGTAGTTAGGTTAGCAACCCGTCCTCGACTCGAGTCCATTCCATCCAGCGGTCGACCCCACAGACGCATTCATAAACTTTTACATGCTCTTCATTCAAATATAAATTAATATTATAATATATTAGCATATTGTGCATATATATAGGCATAAGTTAGGTTAGGTGTTTAGTTTCTGTTGGCGATTATTTGTATTTGTAGTATGTGGGTGAAGCATTTACAGCGTTGTGGTTTGAACATAATTAGTCAGTAAAGCAATTGTTCCGGAAGTGTTCGAACGAAATCAGTTGTGAGTCCAGTGTAAACCGTTTTTCTTTCATTATCAGGGGGTTGGCAGGTGGATGGAATGAACGGTTGGCCTATGTTGATGAAGACAAGCTGTTAACGGAAGTGAATTTCGAACTGAGGACGTGAGCGAAGCACTATTCAAATAAAGTTCTAACGTCAGTTGTGACTCATTTGTAATATGTCCTTTATTCATAAACAAGGGTTTGACAACTGGGCAAAGGATCATTTGTTTATGGATCTCATACATACAGGCTGATACATGATAATACATACAGGCTGATACATACATGCTGTATGTAAATGAAGAACAAAGTCCCAGGTGAAGTTCAAGCGAAGAAATGAACCACCAGAACTTGATAAAAAAAAGTCTAATCACAAATAAATTTTGGCGGCGCCACCGCAGCCCCGCAGCGAGATCTTAGTACACCATTGGGAACCCGAGTGTTACCTGGACCACGTCGGGGTGGTGGATGCCGTTGTGGGAGAGGTCGAGGCAGGAGAGCACAGGACAGGAGGCCAGACGGGCCACAGCCTCCAGCTGTGAGAGACGGTTGTGCCCTGCCTGTAGCGTCTCCAGCCGCGGCAGCCCACCTGCAGGCACTGGCAGTTAACCTCGGCTACGTTATGGCACCTCCCGTCAAACATTAGAAATATGCTTATGTATACATGGGTACGAAAACGCTATTTTTGCTACTAGAAAGAAAAAATCCAAATTAATAATTCTCAAGGTAGTGAATACTATTACGGTGGCCGGGTACCTGTTTAGTAATGACATATTGTAAGGGATAAGTTACGTTAATTATCACCTACAGATGTGATCAATGTTGGAGATCATGTTGAAGGAGACGTTGAGTGTGACGAGGGACTGGAGACCCTGGAGGCCATTGAGGGAGGTGAGGAGGTTGTTGTGGAGGTGAAGGGAGCGGAGGTGCTGCAGGTGGTGGAGCCCGGAGACGTGTCGGATGCCGTTGTTCTCCAACCACAGGCACCGGAGGCCAGTGTACTCCTCCAGGTTCTCTATCTCCGTGTACCCTGAGGAACATGGAGACTCAACAGATGCTCACCTCCAGCTCACACACAAAGACATATATCATGACGGAAGATTATTATATCTCATGACTATGCACCCAGTCATGCGGCTGTGAAAGTCCTCATCGAAGCTTCCTCATACATTAGTGGTTCTCTCCGCCATCAGTCTGAGCCTCCACACATCTTGATGATTGTCTCCATACTTGGTCCAGTCTCACCCATGTATCAGGGATTGACTCCATGGTTAAAAGGGATTTTCTAACACTTCAGTAATCTACATAAGAACATAAGTACTCAGAGCTTTACTTTAACTCGTAAACTTATGTTCTACTTTGATACACAAAAACACGGATTCAGTGAAGGAATAGCATAAAGTGTTATATTCTGCATTGCATTAATAATTGTCAGAATTGCCTGTTTTATCGGAAATAGTCGAGAGTTATCTTGAGGTTATCTTGAGATGATTTCGGGGCTTTAGTGTCCCCGCGGCCCGGTCCTCGACCAGGCCTCCACCCCCAGGAAGCAGCCCGTGACAGCTGACTAACTCCCAGGTACCTATTTACTGCTAGGTAACAGGGGCATTCAGGGTGAAAGAAACTTTTGCCCATTTGTTTCTGCCTCGTGCGGGAATCGAACCCGCGCCACAGAATTACGAGTCCTGCGCGCTATCCACCAGGCTACGAGGCCCCCATAAGAGTCATCATGACCTCAGTATACGCGACAGATGTTGACCATTTCCCATATTGTGTTGCATTACATTACACGAAGTTGCAGAGAAAAATGGAAAACTGAGCAAAGGCCAGTTTTTGGCAGGAAGCCTTATACCTCTTTATGGTGTGTTCACTCTGAAGGGAATATTACACTAGACGCGATGATCAAAACCGTTTGAGTTGATAAGTCTTGCCTTTGAAATCAACTTGATGGAATGATTTTGTTGGTTATGGGTTCAGCATAAACAAATTTTGATAAGTCTGGTTATGGGTTAGTAGTGACGGATTACTAATAAGATTAAGATAAAGGACTACATAAATCTTGAGGAAACAATACACAAAGAATAATCACACCCTCTACTATCTACTACAGCAAAACAAAGAATCATGGCATCTTGTCAATGGAAGGCTAACAGTCTCAGAGGGATAATTTGGCACAAATGATTGAATTTTTAGTTCATAATGAACTCGGCCTGTTCACGATTGAATAATCTTTCATTTATAACTGGTTTGTTAACACTTAGCATTGCTGCCTTTGGTGACACGGCAGCGAGTGCTAGAAACACAGCGGTCTTGAAGATTGCTCCTTCACAGGAGAAGTAGTTGGTATTAGTAGTAGTAGTACTGGAAGGGAAGGGGAAAAGTGCCATGCCATCACGACTATATAGCACTGGGAAGGGGTCAGGATAAAGATTTGGGATGGGACAGGGGAAAGGAATGGTGCCCAACCACTTGGACGGTCGGAGATTGAACGCCGACCTGCATGAAGCGAGACCGTCGCTCTACCGTCCAGCCCAAGATGTTGGACAGTAGTACGGGAAGTAGCAGTTTCAGTAGCAGTGGCCACAGTGACAAAAGTAGCTGCAAGCAAAGCAATTTTGTCTACCTGTTACCAACAGAATGCTGTGTAAACAGGTCATACAGTGTCCTGTATCATCACATGAGGAGACACATGCACGGTCACACATGTCGCTACACAGTTGAACAAGTACTGAAGGCGAAGGGTGTGCAGCATCTGCTTTCTAACCTTTGATCTAACAGTTAAATTATCCTTGACCTTAAACGTAACGGCTAATGACCCTTGACTTTAAATGTAAGTATTAAATGATACTTGACCTTCTGTTAAATGATCATTGACTTTTGTAACTGTCAAAATTACGCCAGAAGGATTGTTGAACTATGAGTGAACGTCTCACTGACCTTTGAAGTGGAGATAGAGGACGTCGTTGAGGGCAGGGACGGTGTACAGGTCGTGTTCCTTACACAGCTGCTTAATGGCCTCCTTCGTCATCCTGACAAGAGGCAGGTCAGGTCAATAAGATGCCTCCGAACCTCTAAAACAAGTGTCAAAACTACCAGACCAGGATTTGAATACATTGTTCTCAAAATGCATACTCAAGGAAAAAGAGGAGACTGGAACCGACCCATGAAAAAAACGAAAAGGACGGTTCCTGTCTCCTTTTACACTACTACTTGATTACATAATCTATTAATTACGATTACACAAAAATTAATAATAAAAATACAGTTAACTAGACTAAAAAAATGCATGTGGGCTAAGACAAGATGGAAATATATGGTAAATTGTTATACGTTGGTCAACAAAATCTTAGCCACGGTTGTTAAGGAAATAGACACTTGGATTATGTCCCAGAGTGGTGGTGTGGCCACCTGTGTCCCAGAGTGGTGTTGTGGCCACCTGTGTCCCAGAGTGGTGGTGTGGCCACCTGTGTCCCAGAGTGGTGGTGTAGCCACCTGTGTCCCAGAGTGGTGGTGTGGCCACCTGTGTCCCAGAGTGGTGGTGTGGCCACCTGTGTCCCAGAGTGGTGGTGTGGCCACCTGTGTCCCAGAGTGGTGGTGTGGCCACCTGTGTCCCAGAGTGGTGTTGTGGCCACCTGTGTCCCAGAGTGGTGGTGTGGCCACCTGTGTCCCAGAGTGGTGGTGTAGCCACCTGTGTCCCAGAGTGGTGGTGTGGCCACCTGTGTCCCAGAGTGGTGGTGTGGCCACCTGTGTCCCAGAGTGGTGGTGTAGCCACCTGTGTCCCAGAGTGGTGGTGTAGCCACCTGTGTCCCAGAGTGGTGGTGTGGCCACCTGTGTCCCAGAGTGGTGGTGTGGCCACCTGTGTCCCAGAGTGGTGGTGTGGCCACCTGTGTCCCAGAGTGGTGGTGTGGCCACCTGTGTCCCAGAGTGGTGGTGTGGCCACCTGTGTCCCAGAGTGGTGGTGTGGCCACCTGTGTCCCAGAGTGGTGGTGTGGCCACCTGTGTCCCAGAGTGGTGGTGTGGCCACCTGTGTCCCAGAGTGGTGGTTATCTTGAGGTTATCTTGAGATGATTTCGGGGCTTTTTTAGTGTCCCCGCGGCCCGGTCCTCAACCAGGCCTCCACCCCCAGGAAGCAGCCCGTGACAGCTGACTAACTCCCAGGTACCTATTTACTGCTAGGTAACAGGGGCATTCAGGGTGAAAGAAACTTTGCCCATTTGTTTCTGCCTCGTGCGAGAATCGAACCCGCGCCACAGAATTACGAGTCCTGCGCGCTATCCACCAGGCTACGAGGCCCCGTCCCAAAGTGGTGGTGTGGCCACCTGTGTCCCAGAGTGGTGTTGTGGCCACCTGTGTCCCAGAGTGGTGGTGTGGCCACCTGTGTCCCAGAGTGGTGGTGTGGCCACCTGTGTCCCAGAGTGGTGGTGTGGCCACCTGTGTCCCAGAGTGGTGGTGTGGCCACCTGTGTCCCAGAGTGGTGGTGTGGCCACCTGTGTCCCAGAGTGGTGTTGTGGCCACCTGTGTCCCAGAGTGGTGGTGTGGCCACCTGTGTCCCAGAGTGGTGGTGTGGCCACCTGTGTCCCAGAGTGGTGTTGTGGCCACCTGTGTCCCAGAGTGGTGGTGTGGCCACCTGTGTCCCAGAGTGGTGGTGTAGCCACCTGTGTCCCAGAGTGGTGGTGTGGCCACCTGTGTCCCAGAGTGGTGGTGTGGCCACCTGTGTCCCAGAGTGGTGGTGTGGCCACCTGTGTCCCAGAGTGGTGGTGTAGCCACCTGTGTCCCAGAGTGGTGGTGTGGCCACCTGTGTCCCAGAGTGGTGGTGTGGCCACCTGTGTCCCAGAGTGGTGTTGTGGCCACCTGTGTCCCAGAGTGGTGGTGTGGCCACCTGTGTCCCAGAGTGGTGGTGTGGCCACCTGTGTCCCAGAGTGGTGGTGTGGCCACCTGTGTCCCAGAGTGGTGGTGTGGCCACCTGTGTCCCAGAGTGGTGGTGTGGCCACCTGTGTCCCAGAGTGGTGGTGTGGCCACCTGTGTCCCAGAGTGGTGGTGTGGCCACCTGTGTCCCAGAGTGGTGGTGTGGCCACCTGTGTCCCAGAGTGGTGGTGTGGCCACCTGTGTCCCAGAGTGGTGGTGTGGCCACCTGTGTCCCATAGTGGTGGTGTGGCCACCTGTGTCCCAGAGTGGTGGTGTGGCCACCTGTGTCCCAGAGTGGTGTTGTCGTCTCAGATTTAGCTACTCAGAACGAAGTGTCCATGTAGCACGGGCTATGGTGAGCCCGGAAGTCCCAAAGTAGTGATCAATGTACATATATACAGCTCTGAGACACACATCTCACCTGCAGAAAAAAATTAGTTTCCCAGGACATTTATTCTTTAAACCTATTGCCTTCTTCGTGAGGTTTCAGTAATATCTGGGAATACTTGGGTATTAACTTTCACGAAATATAAATATTAATATGAACATTATTTCATCAATCTCTGTAATATTAACTCGGTAAAGACGTGTGCTATAATGAGGATCAACACGTTTCAACTTTTAATACCAAGAACATGTCCATGTTGCAGTATATATTTAGGAACTTGGCACATAATATTTTGATTAAAATACACTAGGAATAATAAAGTGAAGTTTAGACGTTATATATCAGGAACATGTCTCGTCATGATCCCTGGCTGTGACTGGTGGTGGCTAATCTCCGTCATGTGGGTGGCATGGTGGGGTGAGTGTGGGTAACTGATCTTACCTCGGTTCATATTTAGTCTGTGACTGGTTGACTGTGTTGACAGTGTGCTGGGTGACTGTCACCCCAACACCTCCTGCGAACATCATCCTCCAGGATAATGTTATTTTCTGTTCTCCTGCTCGATTGTTACTGCTTCCAATGATCAAATGTTCTTCTCGGTGATTTCCGATTAATTGCAGCAGTTAATAATATTATTAGGAAGAACAAACAAGCTTGTCAGCTGTTCTCGTCCTCAGAGAGAGTCTCCAAGTCAACACCAGCTAAAGCTTCCAAGCTGTGGTTGTCATGGCAACGGGGACGCTAGAGCTTCCAAGTTCTGGTTGTCATGACAACGGGGACGCGACGCTCAGCTGACTCGGTGCTGCTATCTGGTGGTCAGCAAACGATTTATTTCTAAACTAATATTCCCACGTTAAATATACATTGGTATTCCCAGGTGGTACTACGGCTTGGAGTTTGTATACATTGCTATTCCCAGGTGGTACTACAGCACAGAGTTTGTAAACATTGCTATTCCCAGGTGGTACTACAGCACAGAGTTTGTAAACATTGCTATTCCCAGGTGGTACTACAGCACAGAGTTTGTAAACATTGCTATTCCCAGGTGGTACTACAGCACAGAGTTTGTAAACATTGCTATTCCCAGGTGGTACTACAGCACAGAGTTTGTAAACATTGCTATTCCCAGGTGGTACTACAGCACAGAGTTTGTAAACATTGCTATTCCCAGGTGGTACTACAGCACAGAGTTTGTAAACATTGATATTCCCAGGGGATACTGCTGAGGTTATCTTGAGAGGATTTCGGGGCTTAGCGTCCCCGCGGCCCGGTCCTCGACCAGGCCTCCTTTTTGTTACACACACCCCCAAAAAGCAGCCCGTAGCAGCTGTCTAACTCCCAGGGGCCAGATTCACGAAGCAGTTACGCAAGCACTTACAAACGTGAACATCTTTCCTCAATCTTTGACGGCTTTGGTTACATTTATTAAACAGTTTACAAGCATGAAAACTTGCCAATCAACTGTTGTTATTGTTGTAAACAGCCTCCTGGTGCTTCGGAGCTCATTAACTGTTTAATAATTGCAAACAAAACCTCTAAAGATTGATAAAAGATGTACAGGTTCATAAGTGCTTGCGTAACTGCTTTGTAAATCTGGCCCCAAGCACCTATTTACTGCTAGGTAACAGGGGCATCAGGGTGAAAGAAACGTTTTGCCCATTTGTCTCCGCCTCTACCGGGGATCGAACCCGTAGCCTCAGAACTACGAACCGAAGTCCACTCAGCTGTCAGGTGCCTTGTAAACAAATAATGTAAACATCGGAACACATATTGTAAACAATACTATTCCCAGGTGGTATTGCTTAGTTATTTACATGACTTAGAAATAATTTTTGTGTTCGTGTTGTCAATGAAAATCAATGAAAATTAACATAATTAGTTTTCATTAATTGATATATTTACGATAAATGTTAAGAGACATGAAAACAGAATAAACATTTTACACCACAAATGATGCTCACCGCAATTAACTATATAATGTATGAATTCCAAATGACTCATTGTAAGCTAGACTCGGCCTTTGGCGCCAATCACCTGTTTTGTTTTGATTTAACAGCGTCCTTAGCAACGGACTTGACGACCGCGTTGCCATGGTTACCGGGACGCTGCCGCATCAGCTGACCGCTGTGGAGGGAAGCTTGCAAAACGAGAACGTCGAATCGCGCAATTCACGCAAGGAAAACAGGCTTGTCTAGCCCCCTCACACCTCACACGGGTCGTTACTGACGAGTGAGGCGCAGGTGGAGGAACGAGGTGTTTGGGCAGTTTACCAATGTGGAGTGTAGACTAGGGAGGGGGAGGAGGGGAATGCTGTTTACTCACCATGAGAGTCAGGAAGATCAAAGACCTCCAGTTGCTCTCTGCTATAGGGTTTACAGGTTGGTTGTCTGTGGTTGTCTGTGTGGCTGTTTGTGGTTGTCTGTGAGGCTGTTTGTGGTTGTCTGTGTGGCTGTTTGTGGTTGTCTGTGTGGTTGTCTGTGTGGTTGTCTGTGTGGCTGTTTGTGTGGCTGTTTGTGGTTGTCTGTGTGGTTGTCTGTGAGGCTGTTTGTGGTTGTCTGTGAGGCTGTTTGTGGTTGTCTGTGTGGTTGTCTGTGTGGCTGTACATATAATTTATATGTGTAACTAATAGCATATAATACTGATGATTACAGGTAATCCTAATTACCTGACCAGTTAATATGAAACACCTGTGATTAAAGTGAGAGAGACAGAGAGAGAGAGAGAGAGAGAGAGAGAGAGAGAGAGAGAGAGAGAGAGAGAGAGAGAGAGAGAGAGAGAGAGAGAGAGAGAGAGAGAGAGAGAGAGAGAGAGAGAGAGAGAGAGAGAGAGAGAGTGAGAGAGAGAGAGAGAGAGAGAGAGAGAGAGAGAGAGAGAGAGAGAGAGAGAGAGAGAGAGAGAGACAGAGAGAGAGAGAGAGAGAGAGAGAGAGAGAGAGAGAGAGAGAGAGAGAGAGAGAGAGAGAGAGAGAGAGAGAGAGAGAGAGAGAGAGAGAGAGAGAGAGAGAGAGAGAGAGAGAGAGAGAGAGAGAGAGACAGAGAGAGAGAGAGAGAGAGAGAGAGAGAGAGAGAGAGAGAGAGAGAGAGAGAGAGAGAGAGAGAGAGAGAGAGAGAGAGAGAGAGAGACAGAGAGAGAGAGAGAGAGAGAGAGAGAGAGAGAGAGAGAGAGAGAGAGAGACAGAGAGAGAGAGAGAGAGAGAGAGAGAGAGAGAGAGAGAGAGAGAGAGAGAGAGAGAGAGAGAGAGAGAGAGAGAGAGAGAGAGAGAGAGAGAGAGAGAGAGAGAGAGAGAGAGAGAGAGAGAGACAGAGAGAGAGACAGAGAGAGAGACAGAGAGAGAGACAGAGAGAGAGACAGAGAGAGAGAGAGACAGACAGACAGACAGACAGAGAGAGAGACAGAGAGAGAGACAGAGAGAGAGAGAGAGAGAGAGAGAGAGAGAGAGAGAGAGAGAGAGAGAGAGAGAGAGAGAGAGAGAGAGAGAGAGAGAGAGAGAGAGACAGAGAGAGAGACAGAGAGAGAGACAGAGAGAGAGAGAGAGAGAGAGAGAGAGAGAGAGAGAGAGAGAGAGAGAGAGAGAGAGAGAGAGAGAGAGAGAGAGAGAGAGAGAGAGAGAGACAGAGAGAGAGAGAGAGAGAGAAAGTGAGTGAGAGTGAATGAGAGAGAGAGAGAGAGAGAGAAAGTGAGTGAGAGTGAATGAGAGAGAAGCAGTATTCTTAAGCTGTTGACTAGAAGGTGAAGATTCACCTGGACTCGTCACATTGTGTGAGTGACAGGTGAGGATGATTTAGTACACTGTAAGAGTAGTGAAGGAGTATCTGGCAACTACACTCACTGTATTTAGAACTTTGTGAATGTAAATAAGCTGTTGGAGAGACGGTGAAGCTGTGTGCTGGGGGAGACGGTGAAGCTGTGTGCTGGGGGGTCACGGTGAAGCTGTGTGCTGGGGGAGACGGTGAAGCTGTGTGCTGGGGGAGACGGTGAAGCTGTGTGCTGGGGGAGACGGTGAAGCTGTGTGCTGGGGGAGACGGTGAAGCGGTGTGCTGGGGGGTGACGGTGAAGCTGTGTGCTGGGGGAGACGGTGAAGCTGTGTGCTGGGGGAGACGGTGAAGCGGTGTGCTGGGGGTGACGGTGAAGCTGTGTGCTGGGGGAGACGGTGAAGCGGTGTGCTGGGGGGTGACGGTGAAGCTGTGTGCTGGGGGGAGACGGTGTGCTGGGGGGTGACGGTGAAGCGGTGTGCTGGGGGGTGACGGTGAAGCGGTGTGCTGGGGGGAGACGGTGTGCTGGGAGGTGACGGTGAAGCGGTGTGCTGGGGGGTGACGGTGAAGCGGTGTGCTGGGGGGGTGACGGTGAAGCGGTGTGCTGGGGGGAGACGGTGAAGCGGTGTGCTGGGGGGTGACGGTGAAGCGGTGTGCTGGGGGGTGACGGTGAAGCGGTGTGCTGGGGGGAGACGGTGAAGCGGTGTGCTTGGGGGTGACGGTGAAGCGGTGTGCTGGGGGGTGACGGTGAAGCGGTGTGCTGGGGGAGACGGTAAAGCTGTGTGCTGGGGGAGACGGTGAAGCTGTGTGCTGAGGGAGACGGTGAAGCTGTGTGCTGGGGGAGACGGTGAAGCGGTGTGCTGGGGGGAGACGGTGTGCTGGGGGGTGACGGTGAAGCGGTGTGCTGGGGGGTGACGGTGAAGCGGTGTGCTGGGGGGTGACGGTGAAGCGGTGTGCTGGGGGGTGACGGTGAAGCGGTGTGCTGGGGGGTGACGGTGAAGCGGTGTGCTGGGGGTGACGGTGAAGCGGTGTGCTGGGGGGAGACGGTGTGCTGGGAGGTGACGGTGAAGCGGTGTGCTGGGGAGTGACGGTGAAGCGGTGTGCTGGGGGGTGACGGTGAAGCGGTGTGCTGGGGGTGACGGTGAAGCGGTGTGCTGGGGGAGACGGTGAAGCGGTGTGCTGGGGGTGACGGTGAAGCGGTGTGCTGGGGGGTGACGGTGAAGCGGTGTGCTGGGGGGAGACGGTGAAGCGGTGTGCTGGGGGGTGACGGTGAAGCGGTGTGCTGGGGGTGACGGTGAAGCGGTGTGCTGGGGGAGACGGTGAAGCGGTGTGCTGGGGGGTGACGGTGAAGCGGTGTGCTGGGGAGTGACGGTGAAGCTGTGTGCTGGGGGAGACGGTGAAGCTGTGTGCTGGGGGAGACGGTGAAGCTGTGTGCTGGGGGAGACGGTGAAGCTGTGTGCTGGGAGAGACGGTGAAGCTGTGTGCTGGGGAGACGGTGAAGCTGTGTGCTGGGGGAGACGGTGAAGCGGTGTGCTGGGGGGAGACGGTGAAGCGGTGTGCTGGGGGGTGACGGTGAAGCGGTGTGCTGGGGGGTGACGGTGAAGCAATGTGCTGGGGACTAACGGTGAAGCTGTGTGCTGGGGAGTGACGGTGAAGCTGTGTGCTGGGGAGTGACGGTGAAGCTGTGTGCTGGGGAGTGACGGTGAAGCTGTGTGCTGGGGAGTGACGGTGAAGCTGTGTGCTGGGGGAGACGGTGAAGCTGTGTGCTGGGGAGTGACGGTGAAGCTGTGTGCTGGGGAGTGACGGTGAAGCTGTGTGCTGGGGAGTGACGGTGAAGCTGTGTGCTGGGGAGTGACGGTGAAGCTGTGTGCTGGGGAGTGACGGTGAAGCTGTGTGCTGGGGGTGACGGTGAAGCTGTGTGCTGGGGGTGACGGTGAAGCTGTGTGCTGGGGGAGACGGTGAAGCTGTGTGCTGGGGGAGACGGTGAAGCGGTGTGCTGGGGGTGACGGTGAAGCTGTGTGCTGGGGTGACGGTGAAGCTGTGTGCTGGTGGTGACGGTGAAGCTGTGTGCTGGGGGTGACGGTGAAGCTGTGTGCTGGGGGTGACGGTGAAGCTGTGTGCTAGGGGGGAGTGACGGTGAAGCTGTGTGCTGGGGGGTGACGGTGAAGCGGTGTGCTGGGGGTGACGGTGAAGCTGTGTGCTGGGGGTGACGGTGAAGCTGTGTGCTGGGGGTGACGGTGAAGCTGTGTGCTGGGGGAGACGGTGAAGCTGTGTGCTGGGGGGAGTCACGGTGAAGCTGTGTGCTGGGGGGTGACGGTGAAGCTGTGTGCTGGGGGAGACGGTGAAGCTGTGTGCTGGGAGAGACGGTGAAGCTGTGTGCTGGGGGAGACGGTGAAGCTGTGTGCTGGGGGAGACGGTGAAGCGGTGTGCTGGGGGGAGACGGTGAAGCGGTGTGCTGGGGGGTGACGGTGAAGCGGTGTGCTGGGGGGTGACGGTGAAGCAATGTGCTGGGGACTGACGGTGAAGCTGTGTGCTGGGGAGTGACGGTGAAGCTGTGTGCTGGGGAGTGACGGTGAAGCTGTGTGCTGGGGAGTGACGGTGAAGCTGTGTGCTGGGGAGTGACGGTGAAGCTGTGTGCTGGGGGAGACGGTGAAGCTGTGTGCTGGGGAGTGACGGTGAAGCTGTGTGCTGGGGAGTGACGGTGAAGCTGTGTGCTGGGGAGTGACGGTGAAGCTGTGTGCTGGGGAGTGACGGTGAAGCTGTGTGCTGGGGAGTGACGGTGAAGCTGTGTGCTGGGGGTGACGGTGAAGCTGTGTGCTGGGGGTGACGGTGAAGCTGTGTGCTGGGGGAGACGGTGAAGCTGTGTGCTGGGGGAGACGGTGAAGCGGTGTGCTGGGGGTGACGGTGAAGCTGTGTGCTGGGGTGACGGTGAAGCTGTGTGCTGGTGGTGACGGTGAAGCTGTGTGCTGGGGGTGACGGTGAAGCTGTGTGCTGGAGGTGACGGTGAAGCTGTGTGCTAGGGGGGAGTGACGGTGAAGCTGTGTGCTGGGGGGTGACGGTGAAGCGGTGTGCTGGGGGTGACGGTGAAGCTGTGTGCTGGGGGTGACGGTGAAGCTGTGTGCTGGGGGTGACGGTGAAGCTGTGTGCTGGGGGAGACGGTGAAGCTGTGTGCTGGGGGGAGTGACGGTGAAGCTGTGTGCTGGGGGGTGACGGTGAAGCTGTGTGCTGGGGGGTGACGGTGAAGCTGTGTGCTGGGGGAGACGGTGAAGCTGTGAGCTGGGGGAGCACAGCACACATGGAAGCTTACGACTCCCAACCTCATAACATATATGTCTAACCTGCGCTTGAAACAATCCAGCAATGCCACATGAACAAGTTATATCTTCCATAAATCTACACCCCTATTTCTGAACCAGTATTTACCCAGGTCTTTCCAGAATCGAAACTTATCCAAAATTATGTCCATTGATTCAGCTTCTATAAATATAATTTCCGTTGAATAAATATCGTGTTCCTTCCCTCAGGTAAAGTGGTGGGCGGCCTGCACCTCCAGCAGGACCGTGGGTTGGTGTACCCGGTGGGCGTGGGCGTGGGCGTGTGGGACCGTGTGGGTGGCCGCCACGCACTCCTCCACGCCCACACCCGCCCAGTTACCGCCCTCGCTGTCTCCAGCTCCGGCCAGATCATCGTCTCCGCCCAGGATAGCGACCCGGGCTGCCAGGTACCTCCTCCCCTCTATACTGACACAAATATATATATATATATATATATATATATATATGAATATGACCGAAAGGGTAAGATTAATGATTCTAACGCGAATCTTCTCAATATTTCTTACGTTTTTCTTCACTATCGGGGGTAATTGAAAAATTAACTGTCCAAAGTTCATTTTCTAATTTTTTTTTTTTATGGTCTGACGCCTAAAAGTGTTTCGCAAGGACTTCTCACATTTTCAAACACAGGTTTACACACATCATTTCATGCTTATATTCGTTTTGGGTGTGGTGATATGACACAAATGTTTTTGTGTGAGGTGACAAAGATAGAACACAAATCAATGGGTATATATTGTATAAAAGAGAACATAAGAATGAAAGTAACTACAAAAGGTCTATTATCCTATATTTTCTCTCATATTAACTCTCCAGACACAAAGCAGAATGCATTGAAAGAAACCAACGTCGTCTATGCCTTCACATGCCCACTTGGGGACTGTCAGACCCAAAGATCTCAGTATATAGGCAAGACAACAACGTCTCTTTCTAGGCGATTAACAATGCACAAACAACAGGGCTCCATCAAGGAACACATAATCTCCTCTCACAACCAGACCATCACCAGATAAATCTTAACAAGTAACACAGAAAACATCGATAGATACAGCGATAGCAGGAGACTCGACATCAGCGAGGCACTACACATCAAAATGTCAACACCAGCAATCAACAGCCAATTAACACATAACTATATTCTACCCACTTCAAGATCCCGAACCAACATAGAAGCAGCAAGAGATAGTACATGTTTCAGTACATATACTATATGTGCACAAAAGACTGGTGGAATTTGATGCTGAAAACGCAGGGTTTTCATCTTAGGAAATAATATTAGAGCTCCCAAATATCAACTGGACAATAATGACTTTAGAAAATGAGAATATGAGAAAGAGTCATGATTAGAAGGGATCTTCAGACCAACACCGTGAGGCGTTACTCACTTCTCTGTGTATATAAACCGAGTCCTATACTATACTGACATACCCCTATTACCAATGACCTTCGTCCGTGGTTCACAAGACACACTGCGACCCGTCGACGGTGTGGATTAAGGCGGACCAGACCTCTAAAGGTTAGTAGAACTCCCCTGACGGTCATGCTGTCGATAGAGCTTCTAAAAAGACGAAGATTTAAGGTTACTTGGTTTAAGTAAACAAATGGTTATCTGGGTATGATAATAGTTATACAAATGAGGCTTTAAATATATCAACAGAAAATAGAGCACGAAGCAATGGATACAAATTTAAGAAGTTCATATTTGGGAGAGACGTGGGTAAATACTGGTTCAGGAGAGACCTGGGTAAATACAGGTTTAGGAGAGTCCTGGGTAAATACAGGTTTAGGAGAGACCTGGGTAAATACTGGTTTAGAAGAGACCTGGGTAAATACTGGTTTAGGAGAGACCTGGGTAAATACAGGTTTAGGAGAGACCTGGGTAAATACTTGTTTAGGAGAGACCTGGGTAAATACTGGTTCAGGAGAGACCTGGGTAAATACAGGTTTAGGAGAGACCTGGGTAAATACTGGTTTAGGAGAGACCGAGGTAAATACAGGTTTAGGAGAGGCCTGGATAAATACTGGTTTAGGAGAGACCTGGGTAAATACAGGTTTAGGAGAGACCTGGGTAAATACAGTTTTAGGAGAGACCTGGGTAAATACTGGTTCAGGAGAGACCTGGGTAAATACTGGTTTAGGAGAGACCTGGGTAAATACAGTTTTAGGAGAGACCTGGGTAAATACAGGTTTAGGAGAGACCTGGGTAAATACTGGTTTAGAAACGGTTGTAGATTTATGGAATAAATTACTGAGTAAATTACACACAGAAATCACAATAGCATGATACATCAAATGAACAAATCCATTTGCAATTCTTTTCCATGTCGTGACGCAGTGAACTAAGGCACGCCTGGGATCTTCCCGGACGTAGGTTCGAACCCTCATCATAGCCCTTGTGGATTTGTTCATTTACTGAGTAAATTATAAAGAAGTGGAATGTTTTGATTGTTTCAAGCGTAGGTTAGACATATATATGAATGGGTTTAGGTGGATATAAATAGGAGCAGCCTCGTATGAGCAACTAGGCCTCCTGAAGTTACATTTATCCTCACATTCTAACCGAAAAAGATATCTCACAAATTATATATTATTGTCAGTCTATATTATGTCTTTCATCACTTAGGGAGGAAGATTATGGCTCATTTTGCAATTTTATTCAGCCCGACGTGTCAAGGAACGGACGCGTCTTCAACATCTTCGGAGGAAGTAGGAAGGTGGCTACACCTTGGCGTAGATGATAGTGTGTACTCCTTGAGGGGCTGAGGGGAGGTGAGGGGGCGATGTGAGGGGCTGAGGGGAGGTGAGGGGGCGATGTGAGGGGCTGAGGGGAGGTGAGGGGGCGATGTGAGGGGCTGAGGGGAGGTGAGGGGCTGAGAGGAGGTGAGGGGGCGATGTGAGGGGCTGAGGGGAGGTGAGGGGGCGATGTGAGGGGCTGAGGGGAGGTGAGGGGGCGATGTGAGGGGCTGAGGGGAGGTGAGGGGCTGAGAGGAGGTGAGGGGGCGATGTGAGGGGCTGAGGGGAGGTGAGGGGGCGATGTGAGGGGGCTGAGAGGAGGTGAGGGGGCGATGTGAGGGGCTGAGGGGAGGTGAGGGGGCGATGTGAGGGGCTGAGGGGAGGTGAGGGGGCGATGTGAGGGGCTGAGAGGAGATGAGGGGGCGATGTGAGGGGCTGAGGGGAGGTGAGGGGCCCAGGTGAGGGGCTGAGGGGAGGTGAGGGGGCGATGTGAGGGGCTGAGGGGCCCAGGTGAGGGGCTGAGGGGAGGTGAGGGGCCCAGGTGAGGGGTCACCTAGTGGAGGGAATCGAGTGATCTTGACCGGGATGCTCAAGACGGAGCTGTGATGGCGTCTTGTCCTTCACGTCACTTTTACAACACGTCTAAAGATATTTGTCTTACAGCTCAAAACAACATTATTCCCTATCTCTAAGGCCGAATAATGATCATGACCTTAATCTGACGAATATAAGCTTTAGTGTTCGGTAGAAAGAAAACAAAACTATACGTAAGTGAATACAAATGGAGAGTATTATTACAATAAATAAACAGCCTATCCTCCAAAAATGAAAGTGCTTTCATTTCAGGATCAATATGTTACATCGTTACGATCGACCACATCGTTACTTAGTGTAATGATGTGGTAACGTCGTTACCACATCGATTAGACAACATCGACGTGTTCCAACATAGACAAGATGGACCACAAGAAAGTAGAATTTCTTGATGAATTTGAACAAACCAGAAAAAGTTTTCCATGTTGCTAATCGAACTTAACCTAATTATCTTACGCCTAATACACGCTATCTGAGGCCTAACATAGTACATATATGTGCTATACTAGGCCTAGGAATATTTAAGTTTGATGCTCCCGGACGCAGGTTCGAATCCTCGTCACGGCCCTTGTGGATTTGTACATTTAAGTTTGATTTTAGCTTGATATTTCCCGACCTCTACAAAAGAAATATTACCATGAATACACTGACACAGATCTTGTCCGATTTGCTAATCTCAACAATGGTCGTCTGCTAACTATTGCAATATCCTGGGCTCAGGACCCTTAGTGTGTAAGTACCAAGTTACATCAGTCAAAATTTCAATCAAAATCTCATTAAAATTTCATCAAAAGTCATCTTGTAGCAATTGTATGTTTTGGAAGCGCATTTCCAGTCTGATTTTAGCCTCCAGAGAAAGTTTCAAATGTCCCTGAGTCTAAATTGTTTATACAGCAAACAAGAGGTGTCCCATGACCGAGCCCAGCGGCACGCCACTTACATCAGTCCCCGCCACACCAACTTAACTCAACTTATTCCTATTTTCTGTGATATACCCATTAATCCACCTTAAGTTGCGAGAGGCAAGTTGACTGAGGACTCCTGGGGCCAGATTCACGAAGCAGTTAAGCAAGCACTTACGAACCTATACATCTTTTCTCAATCTTTGCCGGCTTTGTTTACAATTATTTAACAGTTAATGAGCTCCGAAGCACCAGGAGGCTGTTTATAACAACAACAACAGTTGAATGGCAAGTTTTCATGCTTGTAAACTGTTTAATAAATGTAACTAAAGCCATCAAAGATTGAGGAAAGATGTACACGTTCGTCAGCACTCGCGTAACTGCGTCGTGAATCTGGCGCCAGGTCTGTAGTCCTAGGGCCGTGTACCATAGAGTTGAGTGAGGTCGCCATGCCCGGCAGGCGCGGGTGGTGGTGTGGCAGTACGAGGCCCGGCGGGAGTACGGCAGCCACAGCCTCCACCGGGAGGAGGTCGCCGCCGTGGCCGTCACCGCCGGGGAGGAGTACGTGGCCAGCCTGGGCGGCGTCCTCGACGGCTACCTGGTCATCTGGCACCTCCCCACACGCAGGCCACTTTGTAGTATGTCCGAGCCCCACCACCAGGCCACTTTGTAGTGTATCCCAGCCCCACCACCAGGAGGCCACTTTGTAGTGTATCCCAGCCCCACCACCACCAGGCCACTTTGTAGTGTATCCCAGCCCCACCACCAGGAGGCCACTTTGTAGTGTATCCCAGCCCCACCACCAGGCCACTTTGTAGTGTATCCCAGCCCCACCACCAGGAGGCCACTTTGTAGTATGTCCCAGCCCCACCACCAGGAGGCCACTTTGTAGTGTATCCCAGCCCCACCACCAGGAGGCCACTTTGTAGTGTATCCCAGCCCCACCACCAGGAGGCCACTTTGTAGTGTACCCCAGCGCCATCACCAAGCCACTTTGTAGTGTATCCTAGTACCTCCAGGTCCCTTTATAGTGTATCCTAGTACCTCCAGGTCCCTTTGTAGTGTATCCTAGTACCTCCAGGTCCCTTTGTAGTGTATCCTAGTACCTCCAGGTCACTTTGTAGTGTATCCTAGTACCTCCAGGTCCCTTTGTAGTGTATCCTAGTACCTCCAGGTCCCTTTTTAGTGTGTCCTAGTACCTCCAGGTCCCTTTGTAGTGTATCCTACTACCTCCAGATTCCTTTGTAGTGTATCCTAGTACCTCCAGGTCCCTTTGTAATGTATTCTAGTACCTTCAGGTCCCTTTGTAGTGTATCCTAGTACCTCCAGGTCCCTTTGTAATGTATTCTAGTACCTTCAGGTCCCTTTGTAGTGTATCCTAGTACCTCCAGGTCACTTTGTAGTGTATCCTAGTACCTCCAGGTCACTTTGTAATGTATCCTAGTACCTCCAGGTCCCTTTGTAGTGTATCCTAGTACCTTCAGGTCACTTTGTAATGTATTCTAGTCCCTCCAGGTCCCTTTGTAGTGTATCCTAGTACCTCCAGGTCCCTTTGTAGTGTATCCTAGTACCTCCAGGCCACTTTGTAGTGTATCCCAGCACCCCCATGCCGCTTTGTAGTGTATCCCAGCACCACCAGGCCACTTTGTAGTGTATCCCAGCACCCCCAGGCCACTTTGTAGTGTATCCCAGCACCACCAGGTCACTTTGTAGTGTATCTCAGCACCACCAGGCCACTTTGTAGTGTATCCCAGCACCCCCAGGCCACTTTATAATGTATCCCAGCACCCCCAGGCCACTTTGTAGTGTATCCCAGCACGCCCAGGCCACTTTGTAGTGTACCCTAGCACCTCCAGGCCACTTTGTAGTGTATCCCAGCACCCCCTGGCCACTTTGTAGTGTATCCTAGCACCCCCAGGCCACTTTGTAGTGTATCCCAGCACCACCAGGCCACTTTGTAGTGTATCCCAGCACCCCTGGCCACTTTGTAGTGTCCCCCAACACCACCAGGCCACTTTGTAGTGTATCCCAGCACCCCCAGGCCACTTTGTAGTGTATCCCAGCACCCCCAGGTCACTTTGCAGTGTATCCCAGCACCACCAGGTCCCTTTGTAGTGTATCCTAGCACCACCAGGCCACTATGTAGTTTATCCTAGCACCCCCAGGCCACTTTGTAGTGTATCCCAGCACCACCAGGCCACTATATAGTGTATCCTAGCACCCCCAGGCCACTTTGTAGTGTATCCCAGCACCCCCAGGCCACTTTGCAGTGTATCCTAGCACCACCAGGCCACTTTGTAGTGTATCCCAGCACCCCCAGGCCACTTTGCAGTGTATCCTAGCACCACCAGGCCTCTTTGTAGTGTATCCCAGCACCCCCAGGCCACTTTGCAGTGTATCCTAGCACCACCAGGCCACTTTGTAGTGTATACCAGCACCACCAGGTCCCTTTGTAGTGTATCCCAGCACCACCACCAGGCCACTTTGTAGTGTATCCTAGCACCACCAGGCCACTTTGTAGTGTATCCCAGCACCACCACCAGGCCACTTTGTAGTGTATCCCAGCACCACCACCAGGCCACTTTGTAGTGTATCCCAGCACCACCACCAGGCCACTTTGTAGTGTATCCCAGCACCACCACCAGGCCACTTTGTAGTGTATCCCAGCACCACCACCATGCCACTTTGTAGTGTATCCCAGCACCACCACCAGGCCACTTTGTAGTGTATCCCAGCACCACCACCAGACCACTTTGTAGTGTATCCCAGCACCACCACCAGACCATTGTGTAAGGACAGTCGGTTATTTCGTGCCTCCTCCGCCCTCGTGTAGGTGTGGTGGCGGCGGAGGCGGGTCTGGGCACCGCCACCCACCTCTGCACCGCCCCCCGCACGCCCACGCTCATGGTGGTGGGCGGCACGCGCACGCTGCGGGCGTGGTCACTCAACCCCCACACCAACAGGCTCACACCCACGCCCATCTCCCTCGGTCTTCTGGAGAGGAATTACACCTGTTTGCAGGTAAGTCTTAATGCTGAGAGGGAGAGAGGGAGGGGGGGAGAGTGAGAGAGAGAGAGAGAGAGAGAGAGAGAGAGAGAGAGAGAGAGAGAGAGAGAGAGAGAGAGAGAGAGAGAGAGAGAGAGAGAGAGAGAGAGAGAGAGAGAGAGAGAGAGAGAGAGAGAGAGAGAGAGAGAGAGAGAGAGAGAGAGAGAGAGAGAGAGAGAGAGAGAGAGAGAGAGAGAGAGAGAGAGAGAGAGAGAGAGAGAGAGAGAAAGAGAGAGAGAGAGAGAGAGAGAGAGAGAGAGAGAGACAGAGAGAAAGAGAGAGGGAAGGGAGAGAGGGGAGACGGAGAAGGGGAGAGGGAAGAGAGAAGAGAGGGAAAAAGGTAGGGAGGGATGGAGAGAAAGAGGAAGAAAGAGAGGGAGGGAAAAGGAGAAAGGGAGGGAGGGAGAGGTAATTGTAGAAAGAGAGAGAGGTAGAGGAAGAGAGAGAGGTAGAGGAAGAGAGAGAGGTAGAGGAAGAGAGAGAGGTAGAGGAAGAGAGAGGGAGAAAGGTAGAGGTAGAGAGAGGGAGAGAGGAAGAAAGGTAGAGGTAGAGAGGGCGGCCACAAGCACGACACACACCTGTACAGGACACTGACACACCTGTACAAGACACTGACACACCTGTACAGGACACTGACACATGTGTACAAGACACTGACACACCTGTACAGGACACTGACACACCTGTACAAGACACTGACACACCTGTACAGGACACTGACACACCTGTACAAGACACTGACACACCTGTACAAGACACTGACACACCTGTACAAGACACTGACACACATGTACAGGACACTGACACACCTGTACAGGACACTGACACACCTGTACAGGACACTGACACACCTGTACAGGACACTGACACACCTGTACAGGACACTGACACACCTGTACAGGACACTGACACACCTGTACAGGACACTGACACACCTGTACAAGACACTGACACACCTGTACAAGACACTGACACACCTGTACAGGACACTGACACACCTGTACAGGACACTGACACACCTGTACAGGACACTGACACACCTGTACAGGACACTGACACACCTGTACAGGACACTGACACACCTGTACAAGACACTGACACACCTGTACAGGACACTGACACACCTGTACAGGACACTGACACACCTGTACAGGACACTGACACACCTGTACAGGACACTGACACACACCTGTACAAGACACTGACACACCTGTACAGGACACTGACACACCTGTACAGGACACTGACACACCTGTACAAGACACTGACACACCTGTACAGGACACTGACACACCTGTACAGGACACTGACACACCTGTACAGGACACTGACACATGTGTACAAGACACTGACACACCTGTACAGGACACTGACACACCTGTACAGGACACTGACACATGTGTACAAGACACTGACACACCTGTACAGGACACTGACACATGTGTACAAGACACTGACACACCTGTACAGGACACTGACACACCTGTACAGGACACTGACACATGTGTACAAGACACTGACACACCTGTACAGGACACTGACACACCTGTACAAGACACTGACACACCTGTACAGGACACTGACACACCTGTACAGGACACTGACACACCTGCACAGGACACTGACACACCTGTACAAGACACTGACACACCTGTACAGGACACTGACACACCTGTACAAGACACTGACACACCTGTACAGGACACTGACACACCTGTACAGGACACTGACACATGTGTACAAGACACTGACACACCTGTACAGGACACTGACACACCTGTACAAGACACTGACACACCTGTACAAGACACTGACACACCTGTACAGGACACTGACACACCTGTACAGGACACTGACACACCTGTACAGGACACTGACACACCTGTACAGGACACTGACACACCTGTACAGGACACTGACACACCTGTACAGGACACTGACACACCTGTACAGGACACTGACACACCTGTACAGGACACTGACACACCTGTACAGGACACTGACACACCTGTACAGGACACTGACACACCTGTACAGGACACTGACACATGTGTACAACAGGTGGAGGCGAGGGAGGAGCTGCTGTACGCTGGCACCACCTCGGGGGACGTGGTCAAGGTCCGCCTCAACATGTCTGCTGGTGAAGGTCAGTATCACCTTACACGGTCACACCCTGTCTGCCTGGCACTGGCACCCCTATGGTCACACCTGGCACCCCTGTCTGCCTGGCACTGGCACCCCTATGGTTACACCTGGCACCCCTGTCTGCCTGGCACTGTATCACCCTGTCTGCCTGGCACTGTATCACCCTGTCTGCCTGGCACTGGCACCCCTATGGTCACACCTGGCACTGGCACCCCTATGGTCACACCTGGCACCCCTGTCTGCCTGGCACCCGTATGGTCACACCTGGCACCCCTGTCTGCCTGGCACTGGCACCCCTATGGTCACACCTGGCACCCCCGTCTGCCTGGCACTGTATCACCCTGTCTGCCTGGCACTGGCACCCCTATGGTCACACCTGGCACTGGCACCCCTATGGTCACACCTGGCACTGGCACCCCTATGGTCACACCTGGCACCCCTGTCTGCCTGGCACTGCTACCCCTGTCTACCTGGCACTGGCACCCCTGTCTGCCTGGCACTGTATCACCCTGTCTGCCTGGCACTGGCACCCCTGTCTGCCTGGCACTGGCACCCCTGTCTGACTGGCACTGGCACCCCTGTCTGCCTGGCACTGGCACCCCTGTCTGCCTGGCACTGGCACTCTGTCTGCCTGGCACTGTATCACCCTGTCTGCCTGGCACTAGCACCCTGTCTGCCTGGCACTGGCACTCTGTCTGCCTGGCACTGTATCACCCTATCTGCCTGGCACTGTATCACCCTGTCTGCCTGGCACTGTATCACCCTATCTGCCTGGCACTGTATCACCCTGTCTGCCTGGCACTAGCACCCTGTCTGCCTGGCACTGGCACTCTGTCTGCCTGGCACTGTGTCACCCTATCTGCCTGGCACTGTGTCACCCTGTCTGCCTGGCACTGTATCACCCTGTCTGCCTGGCACTGTATCACCCTGTCTGCCTGGCACTGTATCACCCTGTCTGCTTGGCACTGTATCACCCTGTCTGCTTGGCACTGTATCACCCTGTCTGCCTGGCACTGTATCACCCTGTCTGCTTGGCACTGTATCACCCTGTCTGCTTGGCACTGTATCACAATGTCTGCCTGGCACTGTATCACCCTGTCTGCCTGGCACTGTATCACCCTGTCTGCCTGGCACTGTGTCACCCTGTCTGCCTGGCACTGTCACCCTGTCTGCCTGGCACGGTACCTCCCTGTCTGCCTGTCCCTGTACCAGCATATGTATCTGATACCGTAACTTCACTGTACCTGCCTGTATCTCTCTATCTCAACCCGCGTTCATTTTTCTGGTCATGTGTACGAATGGTTTTCGTACCTATGTATTTATATGAGCTTGTCTGTATCATGTATTTGTCTGTACCCGTATATAACTGTATAGTAGTGATTGTATACATGTACATGTGCCTTTGTATACTCCTGTATTCATGAGCCCGCTGCCCTTGAGCGCTTGCGCAAGGGTGACGGAACTTTCACAGATGACAACAAAGAAATGAGTGAAATACTGAGGCTTCAGTTGACTCTGTTTCCAGTGAGCCCCTGAACACATTGACGATCGGTGATCCAAACGAGGTCTTTATTAATGTGATATCATCGTCAAACCGAATATATCAGCTTTCAATATATCCAAACTGGATTTTGAAGTAGCCATAGACAGTATGTCTTATTTATCAGGCCTATATTTGTGGAATGATATATTCATCAAGTATTGTACAAAAAAATCTATCACAGGCCCTAAACATCATTTGGAGAAGGAGCCTAGAAACTGGTGTTATCCCTCGACATAAAACAGCGGTGATCATGCCACGCCACAAAAGAGGTAGTAAAGTAGATGCCCAAAATTATCGACCAATTGCACTAATATCATACATCATAAAAGTCTTTGAAAAGAGTGCTAAGAAGTAAGGTCACAAAACACAAGTAATCACAATGTCTACAGAACCATTAACAACGCGGGTTCACAACAGGGCGCCAGAGCCTCTCACCATTGCTAGATCACTATGACAAGCTCTGGGATGCCTTGGAAGAAAGAAAAAACAGACCATATACACTGACGGGTCACTCAATACAGCTACAGGGAGGGCAGGAAGTGCTGTTATTGCTCATCAGCCCGATGGCAGCACAATTCAAAGGAATATAAGAATTAGTAACTGGGCGACCACAATGCAAGCCGAGTTGATAGCAATACTGGTAGCACTCGAAATTATTGACAACACTGAAGTAGACAGCTTAATTATTTCTGACTCCCTTTCCTCACTACGAGCAATAAACAGTTTGCAATCAAGTAATAACGTGCTTATCTTGGAAGCTAGACGTAGATATATAAGAATATTTAGCAAGAGAGTAAATATAAAAATGTTGTGGATTCCTTCTCACATTGGCCTACAGGAACATGACAAAGTTGACGCCCTTGTTAAGGCTGCAGTAAATAAAGACAGTATTGAACGGAATCTTGAGTTATCAAATAGGTCCCTTAAAAGTGGCATTAGACGAGAACTCCTGGATGGATTTGAAGAAAGTAGAACAGTGCAAACTGGAACTAGCAGGTCCATTGTTCATCACAATGAAATGTGTGAAGTAAAACATGTGTATGGGGCAAGTAACAAAGTCAGTAGACTAACAGATGTTGTCACAGCTCGTATAAGACTTGGCTACAAGTATCTCTGGCAGTTCGGCTTGTATAGGGATCTAGATGAAGTAAAGTGTAAAGTGTGTGGACAAAGACAGGGACACACACTCGAACACTATATCTTGGATTGTAGTAAAATTGAGCCATTTAGATATAAATCTAATCTCACTCTGTATGATATGACAACCTATCTTATTACCATGGATAAATTACCTGAAATCCTTGCACTGTACCCACATTTCGCTTCCAGTAGATAAACGACATATGAGATGAAGAAACAAGTAGTGTATTGTGAGGACTAATAATAAACAGAAGCTCCCCTATGACTATCTCCATTGGTCAAACTATTATGTATTAGCGATAAGACCTACCATTAATGTATAATGACTTACTGTAAATATATAGCTCTTGAAATAGCACTTTCTCTGTAACTAGCTGACATGTAACTATAAGGTGTGAATGACTGATGAAATTGTTTATGTAATAATCTTAGATGAGGTCTGATAAAGACCTTTTGTGCCCTCTGTAATGCTTTTGCGCTACCGCTCACAGAATGAGTATGGGGTGCACAATAAACTAGCCGCCTCCGGCGACAACAAAGAAAAAACGTGGATATAATATTCACAGATTTGGCGAAATCTTTCGATTTGTCACCATGGCGTTACTGAACACAAAAAGAATTTGTGGCAAAGTAGGAAGATGGATCTTTAATTTCCTAACTACGAGAACCCAGTGTGTAATAGTCAACAAAGTAAAATCCGGATCATCCACCGTGATAAGCTCAGACCCCCGGGGTACTGGGAGGCTCTGGGTACTCCAGAACTTGTTCTCATCTTCATGTCGGGCTTAGACTAGGATACAAACTACAGTAGTAAACTTTGATTTTCATAGACAGCAAACCTCCAATCTGATGTTAATCAGGGGGACCAGATTCACGAAGCAGTTACGCAAGCACTTACGAATCTGTACATCTTTTCTCAATTTTTTGCGGGTTTGTTTACAATTATTAAACAGTTAATGAGCTCCGAAGCACCAGGAGGCTGTTTATAACAATAACAACAGTTGATTGGCAAGTTTTCATGCTTGTAAACTGTTTAATAAATGTAACTAAATCCGTCAAAGATTGAGGAAAAATGTACACGTTCGTAAGTATTTGCGTAACTGCTTCGTTACGTTAAGAATATGGTGGTGTTGCTGATGACTCAAGTCTGACCGTGTTACAAGAGTATACTCGGAGGCGGCTAGGAGGGTACACCAGTCTCCCTGGGTATACTGACGGGTGTTCCTGGGAGCAGCGAGTGTTGGAGATGTAAGATCTCAATAGCAGCACTGGACGAGGAGCTGTTTACCCCCTTTATAGAAGTGAGGCCGTCGCCCTGTGTGGTGCCGGATTGGTACTCTGCTAGTAAGCTCCTCTCTTCCACCCTCCGAGGACAGTGTCTTCGCCAGACCTCGGGGGACTCTGCTAGTCCCCGTGGGCCTTGGGTGGCACAGGGGCAAAGTGGGGCAGACTGCGAAGTGGCATCGAACTGTAATACGAGTGTCTGAGCACTGATAATATACTCCACAGAAGTGCAATCATTTTCTGTTGCTTGCCGTTCTCCGTGCGAGATCCATTTTTGCCGCTGGCCATTGGTATTTACACATTCCGGAATTCTTATAATGTTCACTGTGTAATATTGTTGTCTGTCTTCCCCTGGTGTCCACCTGGCCCGCCTTCCCCTGGTGTCCACCTGGCCCGCCTTCCCCTGGTGTCCACCTGGCCCGCCTTTCCCTGGTGCCCCACGGTGATGGTGGTCGTCATGGCCTTGTTCGCTCTGGTAGCCTCGTGGGCGGCGGTGCTCGTGTCTGTGATGGCCCCCAGACCCACGCCCACCTCAGGAGCGCCCACCTTCTCCCGCGCCTCCACGCCAGGTGAGTGACAGGGCCAGCCCCAGGCGCTCCACGACGTATTGTCCAGATGGTGTGAAGGTATTGTCCAGATAGTGTGAAGGTATTGTCCAGATAGTGTGAAAGTATTGTCCAAGTATTCAATTCCACCATTATTCCGTTCCATTAAACTTCAGTAATAGTCTTCAATATTTATACAGAAGTCAAACCAGTAGAAGAGTTTCTTTCAATAACCATGAACTAGTTCTGAGGACCGCCCTATGCTCCGCTCTCTCAGGTATCCAGACGCTGCTGGTGCTGCCTGGGGGCGACCTGCTGGTGGGAGACCTGGGAGGGGCCCTCCGAGCCTACCGTCAGGTCCCGGACGAGAGGGCGGGCGGGCGGCCGGGGTGTTCAGGGCCCCCTCGGGCCCACGGCTCCGTCAAGTACACCCACCCTAAGGACCCCACCAGACCCTTGCTCGCCCAGGTGAGGTGCAGGTACACGGGCCACACCTCCTGGGGGCAGGAGCCGGCCGCTGCTCTTGTCCCGTCTTGCTTGCTGTCTGCTCTTTCTTGCTTGGCTATCTCTGCTCTGTCTCCTAGTTTTGGGCTGGACGGTAGATCGACAGTCTCATTTCATGCAGGTCGGTGTTCAATCCCTCGACCGTCCAAGTGGTTGGACACCATTCCTTTCCCCCCCGTCCCATCCCAAATCCTTATCCTTCCCAGTGATATACAGTCGTCATGACTTGGTGCTTTCTCCTTGATAGTTCCCTTCCCTTCACTGTTGATCATCTACTTTCTGCTATCTTTTGATTATCTCCTGTATGGTCTCTTTAGATCATCTACTGTCTACTATCGTTTGATCTACTGTCTGATTTCTTTTGATCATCTGCTTCTGCCCACTTTAGTTATCTACTGACTGCTCTCTTTAGGTATCTATTGACTGCTCTCTTGATTATCTACTGTCTGCTCAGTTTCGGTTATCTTCTCTCTACCATCTTTGATTACCTACTGCATGCTTACTCTGGTTATCTATTATCTAAACTTTTAGCCGTATCAATTGACAAATTTTCTTTGGTCAGGTAAGTGGTAAAGATTGGTTCGTTCGCCGTCCGAGACTCGTGGAATTGTCTGAAAATACAATATCATGTTTAATGAATTGTCTGAAAATACAATATTATGTTTAATGAATTGTCTAGATGCAATGAACAATATTTTCAAGCAAATATTCCCTGTAAATCATCGTTAATGATGTGTGGATTGTCTTGGATTTTGTCATTATTTCTTACATTTTCATCTCAGGCTCCTACAGGTTAGTGTATTTACATCTTGTGTTTTACGAGCTGTGTTCGTTATGCATATGTCCTTGACTGTGCCCATCTTCCTCATACACCTTTTTATTCTGCGCATCTGTGACACTACGAGAACTCGGAGCATGACCTTGGGATCTTCCCTGCGGCAGGTGTGGTGTGTGGAGGTGGGCGCCGGGGTGACGTCCGTCAGCATGGTGGGACGGGAGGTGGTCGTCGGCACCGTCAACTCTGAGATCTTCACACTCCAGCTCCCTCTACCCTCAACCACACCCGTCAAGCCGCGTGCGTCCAGAACCTCTGCCAACCCACATCCTTCTAAAACCGCTATCTCCATTCCAAGCCCTAAGTCCACCGCTGCCAAGCCCACCGCTGCCAGATTCATGCCACAGAACAAGACGAATGGAGCCACGAAAAATACAAACGCTATCACAAAGGGAAGACGTGTCACTGAGGAATCACAGAGCAGCCAACAGATCGACGCCAGAAGTAACAGACCATTGTCTCAGTCTTCGCCGAAGGTGGAGGAGCTGGCAAGACTGGGGAGCGGACGGCCAGAGGTCACCCTCCTCTCCACCTGTCACTCGGAGCCCATCTATGACCTCACTTTCCCAAGGTAAGGAACATGACTTTCCGTGTCATATTCCTCCTGTCACGGCGCATGGTTATTATAATACACATAGTTATCTAAATACAGACCAGTTACAATGACCTTGTACGATGCTGTAGACTGTACCAGGGACCACCACAAGAGGCTGTAGACTGTATTAGGGACCACCACAAGAGGCTGTAGACTGTATTAGGGACCACCACAAGAGGCTCATGTATACTGTATTAGGGACCACTACAAGGGGCTGTAGACTGTATTAGGGACCACCACAAGAGGCTGTAGACTGTATTAGGGACCACCACAAGAGGCTGTAGACTGTACCAGGGACCACCACAAGAGGCTGTAGACTGTATTAGGGACCACCACAAAGGGCTGTAGACTGTATTAGGGACCACCACAAGGGGCTGTAGACTGTATTAGGGACCACCACAAGAGGCTGTAGACTGTATTAGGGACCACCACAAAGGGCTGTAGACTGTATTAGGGACCACCACAAGGGGCTGTAGACTGTATTAGGGACCACTAAAGGGGCTGTAGACTGTATTAGGGACAACCACAAGAGGCTGTAGACTGTATTAGGGACCACCACAAGGGGCTGTATACTGTATTAGGGACCACCACAAGGGGTTGTAGACTGTATTAGGGACCACCACAAGGGGCTGTAGACTGTATTAGGGACCACCACAAGGGGCTGTAGACTGTATTAGGGACCACCACAAGGGGCTGTAGACTGTATTAGGGACCACCACAAGGGGCTGTAGACTGTATTAGGGACCACTACAAGGGGCTGTAGACTGTACCAGGGACCACCACAAGGGGCTGTATACTGTATTAGGGACCAACACAAGGGGCTGTAGACTGTATTAGGGACCAACACAAGGGGCTGTAGACTGTATTAGGGACCACCACAAGGGGCTGTAGACTGTATTAGGGACCAACACAAGGGGCTGTGACCAGTGTATATTCAGTTCACATCAGCTATACACCAAATGCCTCCTCATCATCGTACTTTTATGCTGTATGTTTTGCCCATCTCAATCTCACAGCTGTATTTGTAAACTTAGCATCTCACAGACTGGTACACCATGTGATATTAAGCATATGCTGTACCATCTGGACTACCAGAGGTTACAGCATATGATAATCACACCATCGACGTCTAATGCTGATATTCAGGTTTTCTCTAATGTAACTGGCATGCTGTAATTCGCTCGTAAGCTTGTTATTGCACGAATGTCGAGTGAGATGTGAGTTAAGGTTTGGGTTGGTTGCCCCACACAGGGGCGTGGGGGAGCTGGTGGTGTGTGGGGGCGTCGGGGGCGTGAGGGTGTGGAACGTCAGGTCCCTGCAGGAGGTGCTGAGGGTGGAGCTGCCCGGCCTCGTCTGCTGCTGCTGCTCCGTCACGCCCGCGCTTGACGTCATTGTCACAGGTACCGTCACGCGACACGTCATCGTCACGTGTGTGTGTGTGTGTGTGTGTGTGTGTGTGTGTGTGTGTGTGTGTGTGTGTGTGTGTGTGTGTGTGTGTGTGTGTGTGTTGTTGGGTGTGTGTGTGTACTCACCTAATTGTTCTTGCGGGGGTTGAGCTCTGGCTCTTTGGTCCCGCCTCTCACCCGTCAATCAACCGGTGTGTGGTGTTGGGTATGTGTGTGTGTGTACGCACGCACACATACATGCATGTGTGTTTTAGAAGAGTGAATGGAATGGCATCTAGAAATTATGTAGAGGTTATCTTGAGATGATTTCGGGGCTTTAGTGTCCCCGCGGCCCGGTCCTCTACCAGGCCTCCACCCCCAGGAAGCAGCCCGTGACAGCTGACTAACACCCAGGTACCTATTTTACTGCTAGGTAACAGGGGCATAGGGTGAAAGAAACTCTGCCAATTGTTTTTCGCCGGCGCCTGGGATCGAACCCAGGACCACAGGATCACAAGTCCAGTGTGCTGTCCACTCGGCCGACCGGCTCCCTAGAGATACATGGTCCTCAAGATACATTTCCCAATTCTGTATCCAAAAGAAATAGTGTAAATATTGTCACTTGTCAATAAGTCAATATTTGACTTATATGTGTGCCAATCAACTGACTGGATTAATCTTTTATATGATGTCTAAGCATAGTCCATTTCTCAATATTGTTTTGAATATGTATTGTTCTTTTGTGTATAGTGTGACCTAAGAAAGGTTAGGTAAGTTGTTTTGGGGACAGAGGAGCAGGCCCACGTGAAGCCTTTATGGTCCTTCGAATCGCACCATGACCTACATATAACTTTTAAGCCAAATTAACTTATATTTAACTTGAAACAAAACAATTTAATAGATATATCCTATGTGTATTGAATGTTTCTTTGTTTTAACTGAAATGTTAGTTCATTTTTGTTCAGTTTAGTGTGCAGATAATTGTGGGATTCGAAGCTGTGAAGATCTCATGTAGTCATGAATGCCAAGATGTATTCCTGGGTGCTTCTCCATGTATAGTCATGTATTTACTCTTATACAAAGATAATACTCTATCAGTGTCTCGAGAGTGAGAGTGACCTAGAGCTGTTTTTGTAGGGTGGAGTGATGGGCGGCTGCGTGGGCTGGGGGCGGAGAGTGGGCGTGTGGTGTGGGTGGTGGACGACGCCCACCATGCCGGCGTCAACTCCGTCGCCGCCCTCAGCAGTGGCCACCTGGTCTCTGGAGGACGTGACGGAAGGGTGAGTCTCTAGCACCAGTCTAACACCACTACCACCCAGTCGTAAGATGGAAGGGTGAGTCTCTAGCACCAGTCTAACACCACTACCACCCAGTCGTAAGATGGAAGGGTGAGTCTCTAGCACCAGTCTAACACCACTACCACCCAGTCATAAGATGGAAGGGTGAGTCTCTAACACCACTACCACCCAGTCATAAGATGGAAGGGTGAGTCTCTAGCACCAGTCTAACACCACTACCACCCAGTCATAAGATGGAAGGGTGAGTCTCTAGCACCAGTCTAACACCACTACCACCCAGTCGTAGGATGGAAGGGTGAGTCTCTAGCACCAGTCTACCACACACAATCATGACGAGGATATGATGGTGATTGTGGTGCTGATGGCGAGTAGAGGAAATGGGGTCAGGATGAAGCAGAGATTTCAATGAAAGGATTTAAGTCTGGGAGTAAATTTTATGAACTAAGAGTTTGTAGTAAGAGGCTGCACACACTTAATTTTAATCTGTAAACACCACTAGAGTGTTTGAGGTGGACTATGTTAACTACCGTACGTTAAGGCTCGTGACCCTACAACAGCCAACTTTAAAAGAAGTCTAGGGTTACTAAAAAAAACTGCTGTTCACCAGAGCGGGTCACCAGTATAACCCCTTGATAAGTAATGAGCACGTTATTAATTTTTCTTTAGGACTGAAAAATTATACATATAACTTATAATATATATATTCAAAACAGTATAATATAAAAACACAGATGGTAAAGTTAACTTATACAACAAACAGAAAATATTGTCTCTCTTATAATATACTATAATAAAAATATGGCACAACATGAATGTTACAGACTTAACTCTACAAAGATGTGATCTGTCCTGGTCCGTATCAGCCACTGAATTACAATAACGCAGGAGTCAAAAACATTGCCTTGCCCCGCGAACAATTTGCCAAAGTTATAATATTTATTATCTCTACAATGAAGCAATACATTGTGACAAGAGTAATCTTAAATTAACTTAATGAATTGTCAATACATATTGGTATACAAAAATAAGGTAATTATTTCTTTACATAGTAATTAAAATACACATACAGAGGGGAATAATGGCATGCTCACCCAGCAACGGACTATCCCACGACAATTTGCCAGATACAGTTCACTCAATTATTATTCACCTCTGTTACCCACATATGATCACATATAAATCATTAGTTCCCATGGGAAACTGAGCATACAAAGAAATAAACAATCATTCCCACGATACGTTGAGCCTAACGCCAACAATGTAACATGAAATTACTTTACCTAGAACATATAAGTATATCAATATTCATACTTGTAATTTACACACAATTATAAAGGTACATATTAATTTATTTAATTATGTATCTATTAGAGGTACGTAACAGACTAAAACCTTCATTATTCATTAATCAGTAAAGCTCTCTCAGGCAGCCCGTCCTCACTATCAACGGGTCTCACAAAAAATGTTCACACACTTTAATAGCGGCTAATTCCTGGTTTCTGCTTTCTGAAGCAAACAAACAATGGCATACTTGAATGACGCCTATGAGAATGGTTACTACCGCAGCCGAGGGTAATGATTGGTCGGTGGCAGGTGCGGGTGTGGCTGGCGGAGGGGTCCGGGATGCGCATGACGGCGTCGCAGAAGGAGCACCGCGGAGAGGTGACATACTTGGCTCTGGCGCCCTCGGAGACCCGCGTCCTCTCCTGCAGCGGTGACGGCTCCTGCATCCTCTGGCGGCTCCCGTGAGTACCAGCCGCTGCACTAGGCTCGTCCCTACACCTAATTTACCTACATTTTACACTATAACTTATTTTTAATATGTACAAACCTGTAATATTGTAACAAATTGTGGTTACAATAATTACAAATATGACATCACACCGACAATTAGTTATTGTTTACCTTAAGGTCGACACTGTCAACAAGGACTCGTACACATTAGCGGAAACCAACAAGTTCATGGAGGTTCGATGGACAAATTATAATACATTAAAAAGTTTGTTAAATAATAACCGAATCCTCACATAAAGGACACTTTAACTAATATATATCTAGATAAACTTTGTGGGGGTATTGCTGATTTTTTTTAAATATTGAAAGAAAGTGTTTGGTGGTGTTGAGTATTGCCCTAATGGGTCAGCGAGGTGTTAAAGTGGTCCAGTTGCCACTCGTACTGATCGATGGTACGACAGTCTCTTTTGTTGCAGGTCCCCGTTCGATCCCCAGCGGTCCAAGTTGTGGGGCACTATGCCTTCCTTCCGTCCTATCCCAGTTCCTTGTCCTCATATTCCAGTTCCTTATCCTCATATTCCAGTTCCTTGTCCTCATATCCCAGCTCCTTGTCCTCATATCCCAGTTCATTGTTCTCATATCCTACCTCCTTTTCTTCATATCCCAGCTCCTTGTCCTTATATCTGGGCTCCTTCTCCTCATATCCCAGTCCCATGGCCTCATATTCCAGGCCCTTGTCCTCTTATCCTGGCTCCTTGTCCTTATATCCCACCTTCTTGTCCTCATATCCAAGTTTCCTGTCATCATATCTCAGTCCCATGGTCATATATCCCAGCTCATTGTCCTCTTACCCCCAGCTCATTGCTTCGTGCATGCTGACCAAGATATTGACTAGACCTAGAATCAGTTCACTTAAAGATATAATCACTGGAGCACTAACTCTGGGTATAAGAGCCTCCAATAGCAACAGGTGGACCCATTGTGCGATAAACACCATCAATACGTTCGATATAACAAACACAGTCACTGAGAAGGGTGTCGACGACATACATGCAGACTTTGTTATGCAAGCCCCTTGGGAATCCCCACCAGCAGGCTTTAAGATTATGGTTCTTGAAGGAAAAAAGAACCAGACTAATCCTCGTCTGCTACGTAACATTGCACAGATTCATATAGAAGCAAACTTGGCGTCTGACAGCTTCACTTACTTCACAGATGGATCAGTAGACCAGCAGGGACAAGAAACCGGAGCTGCAGTTAAAGCAGGAAACTCTGTAAATAGTTGGAGGCTCTCAAATGGGTGTTCGACTTTACAAACAGAGATGCTAGCCATTCAGAAGGCTTTGGAACATGCTCTTGCTGAACACCGACAACATGTTATCATACATATAGGTTCGAGAACTGCCATTGAAACTCATTAACTAGCTCCTTTTTCTCATATCCAAGCTCCTTGTCTTTTTTATCCCAGCTCCTTGTCAATTTATCCCAGCTCCTTGTCATCGTATCCTAGCAACTAAGAGAAGAAATGCAGACATTTACATACCACAGAGTCTATCACAGATTAAGAAAGAAATTAGAAACAGAGCAATGCAAAAGATGTACAGTGACCACGACACAGCAGTTGCAACATCAGGATCTGCGGGTTGGTACAAGAATTCTACCAACTACGAACCACTTAGTTTGATGAAAGGGAGCAGTAGAACAACAGAAGTACACTTACATCGCATCAGGCTTGGATACCCATGTGCATGGGAAATAGGCTTACAGGTTCCGGAAGATGAGAGGAAATGTCAACACTGTGGAGAAATGCCCGACAGACCACTGGAACATTATCTAACACAATGCACAGTTACAAACCCATTAAGATTTCAACTTAGATTCAACAGAGCAGAAGAAGTTGTTAAACACATATGGCAAAATCTTACTGAAGCGACCATACGAGTCATAAATACTCATACTCCGCCCAAGTAAAACAGAAACAAGCAACACTTAGTGGGCCAGCCAGAGGCTTAGGGCCCGCGCAGGAATATCCCTGAAAAAAAAAAAATCGTATCCTAGCTCCATGGCTTCATATCCCAGCTCCTTGTCCTCATATCCCAGCTCCTTATCATATCCCAGCTCCTTGTGCTCATATCTCAGTTACGTGTCCATATATTTCAGCTCCTTCTCCTCATACCCCACCTCTTTGTCCTCATATCCCAGGTTCTTTTCTTCATATCCCAGCTCCTTGTCCTCATATCACAGCTCCTTGTCTTCTTATCCCAGCTCCTTGTGCTCACATCCCAGTTACTTGTCCTTATATCCCAACTCCTTGTCCTCCTGTTCCAACGCCTTGCCCTCATATCGTGACTCCATGTCATCATACCCCTGCTCCTTCTCCTCATATGCCAGTTCTTTGTACTCATATCCCACTATGTTAACACACACACCCACTTCTCTGGGAGGCCTACAATACTCTAACACATGTATCACCACTGTAAAATGTACACTTAACACAAAAGCAGGGTTACAGGCAGCTGTATCCACCACTGTAACACGTACAACTGTCCCTACCTTACAGGGAGCTGGCTCGCATCTACCGCCTGACGGCCCATACGGTGTTCCTGGGTGGAAGCCTCCTGAGCAGCGGCGAGATTGTGACAGTGGGCAGTGATGGCTCCATCCTGGTGTGGGAGAACCAGGATGGCGCCCTCCTGGCCGACCTGCCGGCCTCCTCCACCCCCGTCACCACCGTCGCCTCGACCGTCGACGACGCCATCTTGGTCACCGCTGGCGAGGACGCCGTCATCAAGGTCAGGAGACGTGCTGACCCGGGTCAAATGCAGTGATATTTTGGGATTATAATATGTGCTGACCTGAGCACTAAGTGGAAGGAGCGCTATCGGTGCCTGTCTATACAGTTAGAGAAGCAGCAATGACTGAAATGGTTCATAGTGGGGGAATGATTTAAAATGGGGAGGGGCCAATATTACTCTGCATGGGGGATTGTTTCTTCTTCTATGATTCACCCCATACTCATCTCGTGGGTGGTATAGTGGACCCCATACTCATCTCGAGGGCGGTAGTTGACCCCATACCCATTCCGTGGGCGGTAGTCAACCCCATACTCATTCCGTGGGCGTATTGGACCCCATACCCATTCCGTGGGCGATAGTTGACCCCATACCCATTCCGTGGGCGGTAGTGGACCCTATACCCATTACGTGGGCGGTAGTGAAAAAGATTAGTCACAATTAAAGGGCTCATAAATCAAAATTCATTTAGCCAATTTACAATCTTAATAACTAAGATAAAGTTTAATGTATAAATACCGTCTTATATAGCCTCGTTGGTTCAAGTACTGGCCCTCAGTAGGCCCTAAACATCATACACCGTGATAGGTAACCCCATTTACAGGTGTATTTGTTGACCTGGGTGAGGCTTTTGACACCGTTAAGCACAATAACCTTCATCTCGAACTACAACAGTATGTGGTCAGAGGTCACGCCCTCATACTTGCCATCTTACCGCAGTGATATACACGAGTATATCGAGTATATGTTTCTGTGAAGGATGCTAACTGTGCTTGTTAACTCTGGCGTTCCGCAGGGTAGAATACTTGGTCCGCTCCTCTTTCTCATTTACCTCAATTATATTCTTAATGTTTCTCAACACTTGAAGCCAAAGTTATTAAATGATGACACAACCTTCAATTTCTCCCATGCTAACCCACTTATTCTTATTGACGTAGTGAATACTGAACTAAAAAATATATATTATATATGTCAATTTGCGGCTGACTCCAAGGGAGCCGTTCGGCCGAGCGGACAGCACGCGGGACTTGTGATCCTATGGTCCTAGGTTCGATCCCAGGCGCCGGCGAGAAACAATGGGCAGAGTTTCTTTCACCCTATGCTCCTGTTACCTAGCAGTAAATAGGTACCTGGGTCCCGCGTCAGCTGTCACGGGCTGCTTCCTGGGGGTGTAGGCCTGGTCGAGGACCGGGCCGCGGGGACACTAAAAAGCCCCGAAATCATCTCAAGATAACTACAAACTTCCCCTTAACATTGATCAAGCGTTTCACATATTGTTTTGGTAACAAGTCCACCAATTAAATAAATGTATGAATTAACAATACCCAAAATAAGAGCAGAGTAGATGGGGAAATTCCTTTGTGTTCACAATGATAACAAACTAGATGACTATTGTCACATAAAATATATATTGTTCTTCTGTGATGCAAATTGTTCATCTATCTAGATTCCACCTATGGTATCTGTGTCTGGGGACCTACAACACTAAATTACCTTCGGCCATAACATAAATCAGCAATTAGAACAATTCCAAACTCTAGTTCCAGGCAGATCTCGACACCCTTAATGAAATCTTTGGAAGTGTTAAATATCAAGTAACTTTACGTACTCTCAAGTGCACTCTATATCTGTAAGCTTTGAACTTCATTACTAATCCCGATCTTAAGCGCTTCCTTTTAGAGAGCTGAAACAGAACCCATGACTACCACACGAGAAACAAATATATTAATAATTCTATTGTTTTTTTCACAAAAAGGTAAATGGATTTGTGAGATTACATAAGATTGACATTTTTACATTTTTTCAAAGCCATTAACACGCATAGCATTTCGGGCAGATCATATATTTTTCTATCATTATATTTTTTTTATATACTTAGAGTAAGACTCAATCAAAGCTATTCAACTCAAGGGTTCCAAATTGTGGAATGACCTCCCAGGTGTGATTAAAAGGTGTAACATCTTCCAGCAAGTCCCCCCGTCCCATCCTAAATCCTTCTTATCCTGACCCCTTCCAAGTGCTATATAGTCGTAATCACTTGGTGCTTTTTCTGATAATTCCCTCCCTCCCTCCCAGCTTGTTTAAGAGAGTAATCAAGAAAAATCAGCTCAAGACCATGTAAGAAACTTCACTCATATTTCGCCATCCCAAAAAATATATTTTTTGTGTTTTGACGTTATTGTAAATTGTGTATACTAAAAATGGAGTCCTATGCCTTCATCACTGTCACGTAACTATTGTATATCATTTGCTAAATTTGTTTTCGTCGCGTATGTTGGCTTGCTTCCTGTTTATTATCAAGGATTTATCCCATTAAACCTTTAAAAATACTTGTTAATTTATTTTATGTCGTCACCGAAACGCTTGGCGATCTAGAGGCTTCACCAAAAATGCACCATTGTATATTTTTTATGTTATTACAAATATTAAATACTACATTGCAATGCATTTTTTCTTGCAATGTATTTGTTATCATTTTATTAATTCTGATAGAATTTACCTACTTAAAATTATCTGTTAGATTAAGGACCTGCCCGAAACGCTGCGCGTACTAGTGGCTTTACAAGAGTGCAATTACTGTACCATGCTATGTATTCTCACAAACCCAATGTACCTTCTTGTATATAAATAAATAAATAAATAAACATCTGTACTGTTGTTAAAACTACAGCTTCTTCAGTGTTGTAGTTAGTCTTTGCCTGGCATTATTAAGTATCAACATTATATTGTTTAGCTTTAATAAATGTCTTAAACATCCCACATGTGTTAGCCTGCTTCATTTAGCATGAAGGTAGTGGAATAGCCATTATATCTTTGATATTTATGTTTTAACTATTATTCTGTTTTGGCCGAAACGCTTTGCGAATTAGTGGCTTTGAACAAATCCACAAGGGCCGTGACGAGGATTCGAACCTGCGTCTGAGAGCATCCCAGACGCTGCCTTAATCGACTGAGTTACGACATGAAAAGGAGTTGAAACCGAAGTTCTACTGAACTTACTGGATCCTGCAGCCTCTCCGAGGCACAAACCAGGGTTTTACACAACTCCCCCCATGCACTCCAGCTTACTTATTTATTTATTTATTTATTTATATACAAGAAGGTACATTGGGTTTGTGAGAATACATAGCATAGTACAGTATTTACACTCTTGTAAAGCCACTAGTACGCGCAGCGTTTCGGGCAGAAACGAATGTTAGTAGGATGCCTGCGAATGTCCTGCGAATGTCCAAGCTATGTCAATAGGCCGTTCTCCCTCTTTGGCTTTAATTAATATACAACCTCTGTGCCTTCACATGCACCTGTTATTATCTTCATATGCATATTTATGAATAAAATATAATAATAATTAATTCTCTCGGAAGGACATGGCAGATCTCATCGAAATTTTTAAAATACTTAACAATTTGGAGGAAAAATTACTTCAAAAGTTCCGATGGAACACAAACAAGGAACAACTGTTTTATGTTCAACAAGCCACAATGAAGGACTGAGAACACGAGATGCTTTTTCACCCACAAGATTATTAACCCATGGACAGGCTACTCGCCCAAGCTGTAAATGCCAAAACTGTTAAATTATAAAGTACAACTGGAAGAGATTATCAAGACCAATAGGGGGACCTTCGACAAGCCGCCGGTTTACTGTCCTCGTAGAGGTCACTAGTGTTAGTGGCCCTCAGGCAACTCTCTCAATCCAAATCAGAACATCTTTTTCCAAATCAAATTGCATTCAGGTAGACATAACTATGGGGCAAGGTAACAGACGTGTATCAGCAGATATGTTCCCCAATCATCCTTTTTCACATTGCACTTCCAGCCATCACCATTCCACCGTCATTCTTAGGACCAATCACAACTTATCCCTTAGTGTACATTTCTCCGCAAATTCACATTTTTCGTAACGATCCATTGTTTATAGTCTCCCCTGAACCAATAGCCAGCGCCTCTCCAGCCACCACAGAAAACGTGCAAGACGCTCACAACTAACCCCATACTATAGCAAACTCCGCATGCTGCTTGCTCCTCCCACACTGCCATCCTCAACTTCCACCCACACCAAACACAAAGTTACCCCTGACGCTACCACTCCCCTACCAACCACACAACGGGAACAAGTACGTAGTCAGATAGGTTCCATGTCTTTCTCGCAAGTCTAGACAATATCAACATCTTCCTCTTGAAATGACTCTGAAAATAGTATAGCATATGTTTACATATACATGTTTCGGTGTTTAGACTCATAAGAGTTTAGTGGGTTTTATATATATATATATATTTAATATAGTTTTGGTTACAGCAGTCGGTTGTTGGAGATGCAATGTCGTGTCGCGATAGCTGAGCAGAGGCCTGGAGCATGGGAAAAGAGCATGAGTAAGGCGGGGGGCAGAGAGCTCGGATGTTGGATGAGAGCATAAGATTGGAGTGGAGAAACATGCAGCTCCGAAAGCGGGCGGGGTTGAAGAGCTGGAATGCGGGAAGAGAGCTGGAAGCTCGAATGCGGCTTGAATCTGGCTGTCTGCTCCGTAGCGCGGCTGCAGCGTCTTGACTTGTCAATGGTGTTGAAGATCCGCGGTATCTCTAGAGTGTCGGACACTTAACACTATTTCAGTTAGACTCTGATTACAATCGATCAATTGAGTGATTGATGAGGATTAAGCCACCACAGGAGGTGGCACGGGCATGAGTAACCCGTAGGTGGCAGAAGTTTGGAATGAATGTGGTCTCTGATCAAGTAACATCTTGAAACGTCTCTGGGTCTCTGTCGATGACGATCTGCTGTCAACGGATTATATTAAAGCTTCTCCTCACATTGCCAAACTGTCTAACATGTCTGGTGACGCCTCTACACTTGCGAAGAGCACCCTCACCACCTCCCAACATCACCACACACCACAACACTCACCACCTCCCAACATACAAGCAGGTGACATATGGATGCGCCAAACCCGACGACATATCACTCGACAAAATCATTCACTTGGACAACCTAAACACTCAAACAGAACTACAAACACCCCTTGACTATGGCCGAAATCAAGACGTCTCTCATAAGCACTATTAAGGGCGGCGCTCCTGTGACCGCAGGTGTAAAGCGTTCGATAGATACACGAGGGAAACACGATTCAGAAGAACCCCCTTCTAAGGGAAGCACAACAGGGCTCATTTGGCCCGTTCGGATCCAGAGAGGCCGGACACCCCCCAACATAGGCCCCCGAGGTACAAATGGGGCTCACGGGCCTTCTGTTTCGTCATCACTCATTGACCTTGGCTCCTTGGGTGGCCAATCTACTTATCCATGTCGGAAACGTCACCATAAAACTTCTTCGGTCCATCTGCGCCGTTCCATCTGGTCCTCCATAAGCATAATATTGTCCCATAGTTTCGATCAACCAACACAGAGAGCCAGGAGCGGCGCCATATTTGTTTACAGTTCTGCTACGAGACAGAAGCAGCAGTAAAAGAAACTAACCAAACCCTTGAAATAATCAAACTTACCTTTGATTCTAAGGAAAAGTTGGTGGTGATTCAACTGTATAAATCTTTGGTGCCCCCCGCCTGGAGTACTGAATACAAGCATGGAGACCTCATCGTCAGAAGAACACAGCTGCTCTGGAGAAAGTGCAACACCGGGCAACAAATATCATTCCAAAGCCAAGTCATCTCTCGTACCAGGAAGGGTTGAGGGCCACAGGGCTACCAACACTGCAAGCCGGGCATGACAGGGCGGATCTCATCGAAACCTTTAAAATATTTAACAAATTGGAGAATGTTGATCTTGACAATTTCTTCAAAAAGTCAGATGTAACACAAACTAATAGCAACAGTTTCAAGCTCAACAAGCAACAATGTAGGACTGAGAACAGGAGCTGCTTTATCACCCACAGGGATATAAATCCATGGAACTGCCTACCCGCCGACGCCGCAAATGCCAAAACAGTTACATGTTAAAATCCATCTGGAAAAAATCATCAGGGGTAAATGGGAGGGGGGGGGGGGACCTTTGACAAGCCGCTAGCTTCCTATCCTCATCGAGGCCACTAGGGTATTAGTGGCCCTCAGATAAATTCAGAAGCCAGGGACTCGAAACACACAAACTTCGACTCGAAAAAGTCAGACCTGGTGAACGCCTCAGCGTGAAGGGTCGCTGGGATGTGGGAGACGAGAGGTCGTGCTGATACCACATTAAGCAGACAGAAGCTCCCGATTCTGCCCAGCGTCTCTCCGAGCCGTCAGACGGTACACTGGCGCCTACCCATCTCTTCAGATTCAAGCTTCTCACGGCTTGAACCAACACGGCTAAAGTCAGTCAAGCTGGCGCCAAGAGGCCACAGTGGACATGACGGAGCCTCAGACTACTTCCCCCGGGGCTTACCTGGACATCACCGGAGCAGACCACATCACCCAGCTGAGGGCAGGCGAAGAGCAACTATCACTGGGGTAAATCCCTTCCCACCGTACTGTACTTGAACCTAAACAGGGGTTCGAAACGTCGTCGTCCCTTCATCTTCTAGTGTGTGGTTTGGTCAACGAAACAGGGGCTCTGATAGCTGAGTGGACAGCGCTCGGGATTCGTAGTCCTCAGGTTCCGGGTTCGATCCCCGGTGGAGCCGGAAACAAATGAGCACAGTTTCTTTCACTCTGAGGCCCCTGTTCACCTAGCAGTAAATAGGTACCTGGGAGTTAAACAGCTGCTACGGGCTGCTTCATGGGTGTGTGTAACAAACAGGAGGCCTGGTCGAGGACCGGGCCGCGGGGACGCTAAGCCCCGAAATAATCTCAAGATAACCTCAAGATAAGATAACATCTAAGTACATATAATAGGAAGCATTATATGAGCTTGTGAAAAATGCAGTCATTTTCAAATGATACAACAAACATCACATGACAACATCAACACAACATACACCTCAACTCACCACAATGCAACACATCACATCATAGCATCACAACACTAAAAATTATTTTAATAACACGGTCCAGTGGTGCACATGGGATGACCCAAGACTGGTACAATTCCATCGTCCTGTTTAAAAAAGACTTTCACTCTAAAAAGCTATTATTGCTTGTTGTATTAATACTGGGATGTTGGTGCAGGTGTGGGACTGGAAGAAAGGGCGAGTCACCCATGAAGGTCGCGGCCACAGCGGCGCCATCACCAGGGTCTGCCTCTCTCCCGCCGGCAACATACTGGCCTCTGTGGGCAGGGACGGCGCTCTGCTCCTCTGGAAGCTCCCCCAGCCCAAGACCTGAAGCCATCAGCGGAAAACATCACCGCCTCTTCATCCTCGCCCTTTCCACATCAGATGGGGAAAAAAGTGATGTTTGCTATATGTTCCTTGCTGTACGTGCAGTTTATCGTACTCGTACAGCGCTCTCTAATGAACAAATCCACAAGGGCCGTGACGAGGATTCGAACCTACGTCCGAGAGCATCCCAGACGCTGCCTTAATCGACTGCCTCATCTAATATAATGCCTCAGTGGACACGCGGTGGCCTTCGTATGATCATACTTGTGTAAAGGAGGAAATGTATATGTTTATATCTCAGAATGTTCGGTAATACGTTTATTGCTTGTGATGTGTGTCTATGTCTGTATTAACACGATGTACTGAACGGGGTGAGAATAGCTTGAGCTACCTCATCCCTTTGTGTGTATTTTACCTCAATAAACTTATTTCATTTTCAATTTCAATTTCGTATGATCACTATATTGTTTTGATCTGTGGGCTGGCCAGGGCCCACAGATCAAAAATGACAAACTTCATCATCCTCTCATCCAGACTTGAGAGATATAGACCATTCTCTCATATTGTGTTGCCTCAAGGTAGAGCTTGTTTAGTTGTGATAGCTAATTGTGTGTGTGTGTTGATGATGGGCACGAGGTAGTTTATAGTGGTGGCACGCCGTGCACAGGTCCCCAAGTTAGATACGGACAGATTAGTGAGTAGTATAGTGTAGGAGCAGCAGAGAGGGGAACATAATACTGTATCTGATTTTGTATAAAATACCAGCAGTTTGAGAGACTTTTTGACTATGTGCTGTATGTGATTAATGTAGGTATGTATAGGTCAAGGAACTTTCCCTCGTATTTAATATTAATGTTTAAACTGTCTATCTGAAAATATTTGGCATGACGATTAGTTTCGAAATAAAATGTAGTAAATTTAGTGAGAGTTCATTGGTCCACATCCAAAAATGGACATTTTAACTCCTTATTTAAAATATTATTATCTGTGTGGACTGGACCTCTGAAAGGAAGGTAGTCTCAACAGAAGAAGGTTCGTCCCATATGGGGAAAATGAATCAGTGCTATATGTGAAGTACATGTGATCATCAATGTTTAAATAAATGTTTAAATTTGGGAATTAATGTCGAATTAAAAAAACGGAAGAAATATGCGAGATCATTACCAGTGAAGGATTTATTTGAAGGTTTCTTTAATTTGGGATTTCAATAAGAACTCTCATGGCTGGACACAATATAAGATTACAATATTTAAATGGAAACTTTAAGGCAACTTCCTTCTGACATGTAAAGTGTTCACTTATGGCAAGTGCCCAGAACTTCAATGTTTTAGAAGTGTATAATATGTATACAGGATGTGTATAATATGTATACAGGAAGTGTATATTATGTATACAGGAAGTAATGGGCAACATTATTGGGTGTTGGATTTAAATGTGCCAAGATGATTAAGAAGGCAAGGTAGGATATAGGAGATCAACACACGCAATACATTTTGTATACAACACCTGCACATATATACACATGTGTGATGTACACCGAGAAGTGTACCAACATCTGTATATATGTCCACTCCAGTGTATGCTTTAGTCCTGGACTATATTCAGGATAAAAGTATATTTGCTGCTTGTTCAGTAGGCTATTGTGATGGCTTTAATAAGCCTCTAAAATAGGTTAATAAATAATTACCAAAAGAAGGCGCCGAGCCGGGGAGACTATGTAGCACTGTCTTGCAGGATATTCAAAAGACGCTAAATATCACTAAGGATGCCAATACTAGAACAAAAGCGATTAAAGCGAACAATACCAAGGGTATCAGATTCACCAAAGGATCGGGAAGCAAGACACGCTCGTCCTGGAAGTCAGGACATTCAACAAGGATATACACGACTGTAAGAGGGACAATGCAGTTAGGACAATAAGAAGCAGGGCAGCGCTCCATTAAGTGTCCGTGAGTTAAACGCGTATGGCCAATACGCAACCTCACCAGAGCCGTTTCTCACCGCCGGTTACGGTGGTAGAAGGAAGACCACAGGGACACACTACTCTTAAGAGTACGCGGTTTGTTACTAGTAACAGAAGACCAACGACCCTGCCAACGGGCACGGATTGAGGAATGACTGGGTAGAAATCTGAATAAGAAACACCTTAACGGGAAACGGGACAAGTATTAATAGACTCCTTAGCGGCAGCGTCCGCACGCTCATTAATGGTTCCGCCATCGTACAAAGAACGTCGCTTTTCGCTCGAATGCGCACTAACGCTAAAAATTGCCATACTAGAACAATGGAAGCGACTCGTGAAAGTGACGAACTGTCCAGTTTTCTGTTTTGGGTCCTCTGGCTTAGAGTGTTAGGTTAGGAGAGGACACTTTAAATTCACAGTTTTCATGACTTTTTGAAACCTTAAAACTTGCTGCTCTCCTAACCTACCCGAGGACCCAAGACATGCTGTTTGGGGTTCATTTAATTTGGAAAATAATTTTTTATTTTCTACGATGGCAATTTTTGGGCATAGCGCATACGAGCGAAAAGCGACGTTTTTTGTAAAAGGATGAGTTGGGTTGAAAACCCAGGAAAACATCCTGCTTAAATCTGCTAGAGATGAAAAACGGCTAATATTAGATTCCAACTACCGCAGGATATATTAAAGGACTCCGAAGTCCTGAGAGCACTACGAGAGTCAACAATCGACTGAGTCAACAATCAACAATCGACAGAGAGTTGACAATCGACTTGAGAATGGTCCAGGACGGACCGAAACGTCGTCGTCCCTTCAATTTGTAGTGTGTGGTCTGGTCAACTACGAGAGTCTACAACAATGACAACGGAACTGCAGTTCCGACGGAAGGCACTCGACGAAGGGCATACAGGGCAGCATACAGGGCAGCATACAGGGCAGCATACAGGGCAGCATACAGGGCAGCATACAGGGCAGCATACAGGGCAGCATACAGGGCAGCACACAGGGCAACATACAGGGCAGCATACAGGGCAGCATACAGGGCAGCATACAGGGCAGCATACAGGGCAGCATACAGGGCAGCATACAGGGCAACATACAGGGCAGCATACAGGGCAGCATACAGGGCAGCATACAGGGCAGCATACAGGGCAGCACACAGGGCAACATACAGGGCAACATACAGGGCAGCATACAGGGCAGCACACAGGGCAGCATACAGGGCAGCATACAGGGCAGCATACAGGGCAGCATACAGGGCAGCATACAGGGCAACATACAGGGCAGCATACAGGGCAGCATACAGGGCAACATACAGGGCAGCACACAGGGCAGCACACAGGGCAGCATACAGGGCAGCATACAGGGCAGCATACAGGGCAGCATACAGGGCAGCATACAGGGCAGCATACAGGGCAGCATACAGGGCAGCATACAGGACAGCCGTGAAGATGCCAGCCTCCGAAGGTTGGCGGCACATACACGTTTGGTGTGAAAACACAAGAGAGAGTATCCAAACCCGTCGGCAGACTTGGACCCATCCGTGAAGAGGGTGACACAATGCAAATGTGAAGGCAAATGTTCAAGGAAAAAGCTCTTCGGAACAGAAGGGGTAGAAGCCTTTACCACATGGGTCAAAGACTTACAAAACTTTACAAATGGGACCTGCCAAGAAGCTATGGATAAGGGATGAAGGAGAGGCACCAGATCTAAGGCGCAACCCAGCATGGTGCAGAGCATCAAGGCGACCAAGAGCCGAAGGAGAGGCAGAAGAGTTGGCCGGGCAGCCATAGTCAAGTTTAGACGGCAATAGAGAGGAATCTATCAGCTTCCCAGGAAGTACAGGACAAGATACGAAGAAGTGTAAGGGTGTTAGAACATTCAACTAGGAGGTAAGAGATATGGGGAGACCAAGACAAAATTGAGTCAAAAATCAACGATAAAAGTTTAGCAGAATCCTTATAGAGAAGAGGACGACCATAGAGCGACAACGAGGGACGAAGAACGACTTGCCCCGAATTAAATTCATAACACAAGTCATTGATGTAGAGAGCTTGAAGCCATGATTGGTGGCCCAAGACGACTCAGCATCAATTACAAATTGGAGGCGCCGTTGGGGAAAAGGCGAGTCATCCCCTTGATATCAGAGAATGAGATCATCGGTATCAAATAGAAACGCCAGAAGGAAGGAAGGAAGTAAAACCGTTAAGGACAACGAGAAAAAGAACAGTTTTTGGTTACCTGTAATTCACTTTTTTTCTTATTCAACGCGAACACTTTCTTGCCATCTTATCCTCGACACATGTCTGAACTTCTAGCGTCATAACTCATTTTAAGCCATACCCTTCACTCTTTCCTTGTCTCTCACACATTGTGTTCACACTCCACGCCAGGCAAAGAGCTTGTCCACATTTAAAGTTGTAGAGGAGTCACGTCTCCAGCTTTATAGAGAACAATGACCTACACAACCCAGGTCAACGTGGATTTAGAGCAGGAAGATCATGTCTCTCGCAGCTACTCTACTACTATGTCAAAATCACTGAGGCATTAAGAAAAAAACAATAGAGATGTGGTATGCCCGGACTGTATAAGTGACTATGGAGTGTAAGCCCACAAAATCAGGTCAATAGGAATAACAAGTAGGGTGATGGATATTCAGTTTTCCGTCAAATAGAACGCAAAGAGTAAAAGCCTAAACTAAAAAACTGTAATTTGTCAAATAAAAATACAGTGCAAGAACTGATTACCTCTGTACTTCAGGACAGAGTCCTGGCACCACTGATTTTCCTTATTCTCATATCGAATAGAGACAAAAATACAAGTCACAACTTCGTATCATCTTTTGCAGACAAAAATCGTCATGAAAATGGCCAACAGAAGACACTGAAAAATTACAAGTTCGTTAATATTTTTCGATTGGACAGCAGAAGATAACATGCTGAACAGTGAGAAATTGCAGACGATCAGTCAACTTGCCTGAAGAGTTGATCTAACCCACAACTGGAAAAGAAACCCACAATGAAGAAACCGACGTTTTGGTCCATTCTTCGGTTAAAGACCGAAACTTAGTCGTTTCTTCATTTTCAATCGAGGGATGGATATTGCCGATAAATTTCAGGTACTTAAGAATGGTAAAAATGAAGACAAAATACAGGATAAAGACAATCAAATCTGCTCATAGTAGGAAAGCAGCATGTACAGGATCTGGGAATAATGATGTCTGACGACCTAACGTTTAGGGAACATAACCAAGCAAATATTGCATCAGCCAGAAAAATGATAGGATGGATTACGGATTTGATGGATTTCAAATCCAGGGAAACCATCACAATGGTTGTACTCTTCAAATCACTTGTGCTGTCTCGCCTTGAGTACTGCTTGATACTCACTTTACCCTACGGAGCAAGAGAGAGATTGCTCAAATAGACGGAATACAGAGAACATTGACTAGGAGTTATTAGTAACAATTTAAACCAAAAAGATCAATGCATAAATATTCGTAATAAGGCCAATAAGACACTGGGATTTATTTATCGAAGCGTTAGTAATAAGACACCTGGTGTTGTTCTTCAGCTAATATCTTGCTCTGGGACCAGATTCACGAAGAAGTTACGCAAGTACTTACGAACGTGTACATCTTTCCTCAATCTTTGACGGCTTTGGTTACATTTATTAAACAGTTTACAAGCATGAAAACAAGCATGAATCCATGAAATAGGATTTTACCAATACATTGGTAAAATCAACTGTTGTTATTGCTATAAACAGCCTCCTGGTGCTTCGGAGCTCATTAACTGTTTAATAATTGTAAACAAAGCCGCCAAAGACTGAGAAAAGATGTGCAGGTTCGTAAGTGCTTGCGTAACTGCTTCGTGAATCTGGCCCCTGTTGTGGGAAATTGACATGTGAGATTTATATTTATTAAGTTTATATTAATTTATAATAATTTATTTTGTACGTTAATTTATAATTTACGATAGCAAACTGTTTGATGTTTAAAGTGGACTGTAGGATTTAAAATTCTCTCAAATCGCTTTCCTTACATATTCTGGGGGGGGGGGTGTTATGGCTTATTTGTGTAGTCGTCAAATAAATTATTGGTTAGTAGACATTCACTACAATATTAGACTACATATATTATTAACTAAATTAGGGAAAGCCTTATCTTTATATAACGGGCCTGGTCCACCAGTTATGAACAAGGATGATCACACCAAATAATCCTCGTACTTGAGTTGTTGTTATAGATTCAGCTACTCGGAACAAGTTCCAAGTAGCACGGGATATGGTGAGCCCATAGCTTACCTGACACAGGAGCGAGGCAAGTAGCACGGGATATGGTGAGCCCGTAGTGGACTTACCTGGCACAGGAGCGGGGCAAGTAGCACGGGCCATGGTGAGCCCGTAGTGGACTTACCCGGCACAGGAGCGGGGCAAGTAGCACGGGCTATGGTGAGCCAGTAGTGGACTTACCTGGCACAAGAGCGGGGCAAGTAGCACGGGCTATGGTGAGCCCGTAGTGGACTTACCTGGCACAGGAGCGGGGCAAGTAGCACGGGCTATGGTGAGTCCATAGTGGACTTACCCGGCACAGGAGCGGGGCAAGTAGCACGGGCTATGGTGAGCCCGTAGTGGACTTACCCGGCACAGGAGCGGGGCAAGTAGCACGGGCTATGGTGAGCCCGTAGTGGACTTACCTGGCACAGGAGCGGGGCAAGTAGCACGGGCTATGGTGAGTCCGTAGTGGACTTACCCGGCACAGGAGCGGGGCAAGTAGCACGGGCTATGGTGAGCCCGTAGTTGACTTACCTGGCACAGGAGCGGTGCGTCGTAGTTTAGACTGGCATCAACATGTGTACTAGGTAAGTAGTGTTAATTCTTCTTCAATTAATCTGTCAACGAGCACTCACAAATAATAGCAGTAATCCTAATGTGACATCTATATCAGAGGAAATATAGTAGATTGATTATGAGAGATGAGAATATTGTTCACTATAGTTTGGTCACTACACACAGAAATCACAATTGCGTGATACATCAACTGAACGAAGAGGGAGAACGGCCTATTGACATAGCTGGAGTGCATGGGGGAGTTGTGTAAAACCCTGGTTTGTGCCTCGGAGAGGCTGCAGGATCCAGTAAGTTCAGTAGAACTTCGGTTTTAACCCCTTTTGACCATGTCGTAGCTCAGTCGATTAAGGCAGCGTCTGGGATGCTCTCGGACGCAGGTTCGAACCTTCATCACGTCCCTCGTGGATTTGTTCGTTTGATATATTATACATGTGATTCCTGTGTGTACCGAAGTAACTATACTGGCGCATACAGAGGATGCCAGGCACGGTAAGTTGTACTATACCTGCTCGCCGCCGTAGCAGGCGGCACCCACACCCGTCCGAGGGCCCCCAAACATTGTCAAGGAAGAACTGACGATACCTAAAAAAGGGTGACTTACATATTGTAACGAACTGAAGGCCACTTTCCTTGCTAATCCAGGATTATAAAATAATATCTAAATTGCTGACTTAGGATTGCAATGGATAAAATTATATTTAAGGAAGAGTTTTGTGGTGTGCCTGGAAGATCTATAATCAATATAATAATGTAATTAGGGATGATGTGTCTTGTGTCTCTGAGAATAATGTTCCTTCCTCCATGATAAACCTCGACTGGTCGAAAGCCTTTGACCGTGTTGATGTTCAGTTTGTATTAGCAATATTGGATAGGGTAGGAGTGGCACAAGAATGTATTGATTGGACCCGTATGCTTTATAAAGAGTGTCGGAGCAGCGTCTGTATCAATGGAGTCTTAAGTAAACCTTTTTCAGTTGAACGATCTGTACGTCAGGGATGTCCACGCTCAATTATTGTGTATGTTATATTTCAAGAGCCACTGTACTTGGCAATAACAAGCAATGACTTTATTGTTCCGCCTCGTCTTCCTAATGCTATGACACTTCCTGTTGTTGGTTATGCAGACGATACAACTATTGTTGTGTCGACAGAAGACTCGGTGGTGAATGTTCAGAATGAGTTAGACAACTTTGAACGAGCGACAGGTGCTGTTATTAACAAGAATAAAACGTGTATGATGGGGCTTGGCAGTTGGTGTAATAAAGTTACCTGGACAGGTTCATGGTTTAAGGTAGTGGAGTCTATTAAAGCTCTTGGGATTTGCTGGTGTAAAACATGCAACAATGCTTACGAACTGGCAAGTACTAAAAGGGAGCCAGTCGGAAATTGAAATTGAAATAAGTTTATTGAGGTAAAATACACACAAAGGGATGAGGTAGCTCAAGCTATTCTCACCCCATTCAGTACATCGTGTTAATATATACATAGACACACATCACAAATAAACACATTACCAAACATTCTGAGAAGTAAAAATATACATTTCCTCCTTCACAAGTAGTATGGTATCAGACGTACACACAAATACTTTTATGACCTAGGTATACTGTATAGACAATTTGCAAGACACCTGCAGATAATTCAACAAAATATTACAATCTTGGTGCAAAATTCTTATATCTCTCAAGAATATCATCAACCTTTCCGTTGTGACACATCCAGGCTATTTGTTCAGGAACAGTCCTTATGTCAGTGTTTCTATATACATTAATCAACGGACAATCAAGAATATAATGGGCAAGGGTGTGAGACCTTAACATACCACATAGTTTACACTTCGTGTCATTACCATGAACATCTATCCCATATTCCCAGTAATATTTGTACCCAAGCCTGAGCCGCATGTACACAGAGTCACTCCAAGCATTTCTCCTTTTACCATAAGTGAAATGGGTGTTTTGACTCACATACATGTAGTGTTGCATGGTTTGACTACTCTCATACATTATCTCTCTCCTCTCCACTCCCGCCTGTGCCTGAATAATTCTGATTTTGCTTCTTATTTGTCTCATTGTGAATTCACATTCAATGTCAACTTGTGGTTTTGATGTGGCACGTTTGGCCAAGTCATCCGCCACCTCGTTGAGCACTATTCCAACATGAGATGGAATCCACATGAATTTCACACTATAACCTTTCAGCTGTATCGCCAGTCGGACAGCACGCCGACTTGTGATCCTGTGGTCCTGGGTTCGATCTCAGGCGCCGGCGAGAAACAATGGACAGTTTTTCACCCTATGCCCCTGTTACCTAGCAGTAAAATACGTACCTGGGTGTTAATCAGCCGTCACGGGCCGCTTCCTGGGGGTGGAGGCCTGGTCAAGGACCGGTCCGCGGGGACACAAAGCCCCGAAACCATCTCAAGATAACTTCAAGATAGATGCTATATGTGGAAATATAATACGAATATGTTGTCAAATAGGAATTTAAACGTTTCAGAAGGCTGTAATAATAAATTGCAAATTTGTCTAAAGTGTGGCATTTGTCTCGCAGTTTTCCAATTGACAAGAAAAGTGCTATAGAGAATGGTATCTACCATACATATCTGAAAATAGTTGTCAACCAATTAAACCGACTGTAAAGGTAAGAAACGAATAGGAATACCGAATGTGTACCATAAATCATAGGCAATCTTTTGTTACCTTTAGAAAGGCGATAATGCAGAGATAGTGTAAGTAATGATCAAAAGCAGGCCCCAAACCGGGAAGGCTATGTAGCACCATTAAATGTGCGGAATAATCAGAGGGCGCTAAAGCAGTCTCCGTGGTGTAGTGGTAAGACACTCGCCTGGCGTTCCGCGAGCGCTATGTCATGGGTTCGTATCCTGGCCGGGGAGGATTTACTGGGCGCAATTCCTTAACTGTAGCCTCTGTTTAACACAACAGTAAAATGTGTACTTGGATGAAAAAACAATTCTTCGCGGCGGGGGATCGTATTCCAGGGACCATAGGATTAAGGACTTGGCCGAAACGCTACGCGTACTAGTGGCTGTACAAGAATGTAACAACTTGTATATATCTAAAAAAAAAAAAAAAAAAAAAATAAATAAATAAATATCACCAAGGATGAGAGAATAAATGCGCTAGGAAAAAAGTTTTAGCCATTGTATACATATGCCAGAGTATACCGACTGCCTTTCACTTTTTATTCATATCAATTTTTGTTCTCAAGGCGGATTTGTAATATTGAAGGTTAATGATTAACCAGTCTCCGTGGTGTAGTGGTAAGACACTCGCCTGGTGTTCCACGAGCGCTTTGTCATCGGCTCGTATCCTGGCCGGGGAGGATTTACTGGGTGCAAATTCTTAACTGTAGCCTCTGTTTAACTACAGTAAAATGTGTACCTTGTTGTAAAAGATTCTTCGTGGGGGTCGTATTCCAGTGACTTGCCCGAAACGCTATGCTTACTAGTGGCTGTACAAGAATGTAACAACTCTAATATATGTATAATATGTATAATATATAATATAGTATATATGTATATATACATATAATACACAAGGACCCTCCCTACTAATAGGTTGTTGATGTTGGGCATTAAGGACAATAGGTGTGACAAATGTACTGAAATGGAGAATAATATGCATGTATTTTGTTTCTGCAAGCAGGAAGTTGCTCTTGTAAACTGGATTATAGACACTTAAAGCTTTATGTGCACCAAGTATTAGAGTGGCGTTAATGAAGGCTTTAATGTTTCAAGCCGAGTAATTATCGAAAGAAGGCACCAAACCGGGAAGGCTATGTAGCACCGTCAAATGTGTCAAATTCAAGAAAATGAAGAATAGGAATTATGCTACTTTCTGTGGATAGGCAGGTTACTGACAAAATATTGAAGGTCTTGCGAGACAGGATCAGGTACAACATTTCGGGGTTTACGGCTCATGCTCCGTGATAATGGAAAATTTGTTTTATATAATTCAGTAAATTTAATATCCCTGTTAATTAATGCAAATTTAAAATTTTAAATCATTTAAAAAAAAATAAGTATAACATTTAGGGATTTAAAGTTCATGCTCTGAACTTTCAGAGAATTACACTACTGTATATGTAGTGTAGTATTCCCGTGTAAAATTTGATTTATATTTTATTAATAAAAAAAAACTCTAAGGTTTAAGAAAATTTACTTTTGCCTGATTGGACAGACTTCACTAGATTGTGTACTAAATGCATCAATTTCAAAGCATTCACACTGGAGGAAAAGCAAATCCAGAGTCAAAATATATTTTATTAAAAACTTACATGCATTCAGAGCTCCCATCTGAACTAAGGGAACATTTACATTTAAAATTACATTCTTAACAACTACATATAAATCTTTTAAAAATTCAATTTGCACAATATCACAAACCCAAGTAATTTCACAATTTCATTAACCTCTGGCTAAGATTTAGTTGACAAGTCCGGTTCACTAGACAGTGAAGGCAGACTGCCCGTACAGTAGCTTACACTTAAAAAACGAGCAATGTTTCAATTTCACAAGATCCATAAAAACCAAGTCTAAAAGCCAGTTTCAAATCCTCTATGTTGCAGCCGGGGAATAGAGCTTGCAAACCGGGAATGGTCAATAAAAATAGAATGTGGTAGACAGTGTTAACCACTAGCAGTTTAAAACCAATTACAGAAATTAGTAGATAATCTTCAGCAAGATGCATGAAATTTTATGGCTACACTTTAAAAATAATTTAGTCAAAGTTTAAACAACTCGCGCTACTTATTTTTCACTTACAATGCAATCTTAGAGGTCTAATTTCTAAAACAAAAAAAAAAATTATAGTTTAAAACCAGGTGTGCGAGGCTAACTGCACAGGACTAGGATACTAAAACGTACATTCACACTAATCCATGTACACCACTTGGCTATGGCACAGCAACTAGTGCAATATCGACACCAGCAATTATTACATCCTCCCCAGGGATTTGAACACTAACAATCTGTGCCGCGTCCAAACTAGAGCAAACTCTTCCTGGTCAGTCATGTCTGAGCCAAGTCATCGAGTAGCGGGAATTTTGTTACTGGCCTCCCAAAGTAATTTATCTTCCAGCAGAAGCCTCCGATTGACTTCTCTGTACGTCCTCTTCACCATCCAAGTCATCGCTTACATAACCCATATTGCTATACACCTCTAGGATAGGTAGACCATTAATTTGTTCAGGGACTTGTATAGAGTCCGTTTCGTCACATAACCTTCTATCGTCCTTACTCGATCTTGAATCTAGAGACACTCCACTGGTAGAGCTACGATCACCCCCGTCTTCGCTGTTTTCACTCGACGCATGGTAGACTATAGTGTCACGGTTCACTATAGTTACAGGTTGTGGCTGGAGAATCTGCGGCTCCGAGGGATCACCTTGGCATGTATCAACCGTCGTCGATGGTGACGAGGATGTATCATCATCAGCTTTTGTTTTTTTACAGGTGCCAGGACCAAGGAGAGAGAGTAACACAGGCAACAGAAATAGACCATGGAGAACTCCAAAAACTATAACTAGGAATACAGTCTTAAAGAAAGTGATGAATATGTAGGAGGGAGCTAGGATTAGTGCAGCAACACCCAAGATAGTAGAGAGGCCACCTTGTATTATAGGTACACCAAGGGAGTACAGGCACTCTTGCACACGCTCCTCTCTAGTTCTAACCTTTGCTGCAATGTAGGCATAGGAAATGTGAGCCGTGAAGTCAACACTGAAGCCAATACACATGATTAGGTTAATCATCGAAATTGAATCTAGATTAACACCCCACAAAGCCATGTAACCCACAACACCTACTTCAATCGAGGCAATGGAGAAGGCAACCCATATAGAGCACAGAGGATTTGGAATGAAGATTAGAGAGATAAACAGCATTATAAAAGCTGCGATGCAGATGTCTTGAATGCTTGTGGTCCTCACCAGAACATACTGTAAGAAAAAGAGACCGGGAAATGCCAATTTGTTTTTAGTGTATTTAAAAAATATCCAAGCATAACTTATCTAAAAGCCATTTTTCATTGTTTTACTAACTTTTTTTTTTTACTAACCTGATCAAAGTAGATGAAAAAGACATTGTAAACGGTAACTTTAAATTTAGACTCAAATGCCACCTTCCGGAATGCCTCCATCATGTCTTTATCAGCATTAGCATCTCTTATGTTGTGAGTCTGGATGATGAACCTGGATGCCAGGATGCGGCTGTTGTCCTCGTTAAATTTAACGTCCAAGGCATAAACGTTGGCTGGGCCACCAAGATACGTCTGTCAAGATCATTAGCATTAATACCTTTACAATTAATACTCTTAAAAAATATACATTAACTAAAACTTAATTTAGTAGCCAGATTAACCATTTACTCTGCCAATGTAAAGTTTTTAACCTTGTACCCCTGAAGAAGTACTGAACCTAGTAATGAAGTTCTATAAAACCTCCAAAATGTGCAACAACTTTTGAAGAAATTTAAATAGGCTATGTTCCAGCCTCTCCGGGATGAAAATTCTGAAAATGAATCTAGTCCTGTATGTTGGCTTTGCCGACTTTAGCGCAAGCTCCATAAACCTAAACTTCAAATATGTGAAACCGAGTATGCTTTCGTGTACAAAGTAAACTAGTGACAAGAATAAATTTTAGTATAAAAGTTTAGTTGCCTGCCTAATAAAATTCTTCAGGATAAACTACGGTACATTGAGATTTTAAAAAGCAGCCAATTTTTTTTTTTTTTTTTTCCACACTTAAGGTAAAGTCGATTTTTAAGCCTTTACGGCTAAGTTACACACTACAGCCGTCAATAATTCTCAAGTGCTTTGATTAAATTATTTAGTGCCGTTTACACCCTATTGACTGGTGCCGACATACCAACTCACTCCTTTTATGATACACGACTAATGAGATTGTAGGCATTTTTTCTTAAACTCTACATTCCTTTTAAGTGCAATCTACCTGTCTGATACTCTTCTATCTGTACCCCACCATTCAAGTATCATGCACACCTGTCACCGAGAAAGGTAATGAGAATCTCTTAAAGCTGTTACACTTTATACAATTGCCTCCATCGAGAATTTAAGATCTCACGAGCACTGTCTACACCGACGGCTCAGTCCAATCTTCTACTGGACGGACTGCAGCAGCATGTAGGTTTTTTTTTAGAAATAATGTTTGCACGAAGACTGTCAGTGTCAGGTTAAACAACTGGCTGACCTCCACACAAGCAGAACTAGCAGCATTACAACTAGCTACCAGTACAACACTGGAGGAGGAATAATGTTGCGATTCAAAGTCTGCTCTTCAAGTAATCTAAAACTTCTTGGAAGATCGACAGAAGAACCTCATACTACCAATTATAAATGATCTAATTGCTGCACAGACTAAAGGGTCTAATCTTTTATATGGATACCTTCACACGAATATAACCATCATGAGACTTTGCAGCCAAATTAGCGTGCAACAAAGATGAAGTTTAATTAGATCTAGGTTTTAGAGAGATTACCATCCGTCAAAACTGTATTGGTCCAAACACTGGAAAGAAATTACAGACTCCAACTGAAAACACTAATATTAAAAAACTATGATTTGTTTAGATCTGAAACCTATATCTATGGGCAGCACCAAACGTGGACCAGACTGTGCGACACAGTGGTTGCAAGGGATAAGGTTGGGTTACCGTTACCTGTGGCAGGTGGCTACAGGTGACCGATCTCCCAATCCTGAGCACTTCAGGTGCAAACCTAGCAGGAACTGCGGCATGATCTCTCACACTACGCCACCTAATGCCCATTTATTAGATCTTTCAGACCAGTTGGCATGAAGTACCTGGAGCTCTGCAATTACTTTATTCACTCTTATTCTTGAGGATATCTTCACTGCACCCAAAGTTTGCCAGTGCAGGTTACTAAACGTATGGCCCTGTATGACTAACCATCCTGCGAGATGGGCACTTATTACCACTCTTACCTTATTCACGCTTGTGTTGATATCCTCAAATTGCATCCAGAGTCTGTCAGTGCAGACTGCCTATCACATGCCTTTGTATGACTAACCATCCTGTGTTATTTTTTTTGTTTAGCATCACCTAGTTAGCTTTTTTGACACTACTATATAGTCTAGGGTAGCTGCACAAATGCAGGTGTACCTCATGTATTAAAATTAAAATATTCTAATTATTTGTTGATAAAGTGGGCTCTTGCCAAGAGCAACCAATGAGTTAAAGGCATCTAAATTAATATTATATTTATAATATCTACAGTCAAACTCACCTCTTTCAGAGCAGAGCAGAAATCTTTTTCACTCGTGATATTTACTCCCAAATAATCTTCATTTATTCTAAGGAAACTAAGCCATCCTCTGAGCCAGGATTCTGTGTAGAGGGGTCCAGCGCTGTACGGTAAGCTTTCAAATTTTTTGTGAAGATCCAACAGGTCTTTTTGAGTCTCTGGATTACTGTAGTTCACATCACCAGTTATTACAACCTAGAAAAGGACAAATTAAGACTTTCCTGCATACTCCTTGCCAAGGTAAAGTCACCAACATAAATTTTAAAAATATTCCCAACATGCAACATTAACGCCCCTCCGAAATTCTAATAAATTCATATTTTCGTTCCAAGTTAAGTTTAGGCGTCTACCTACCTGCACCCTGTAAGGGAACTCCCTGAAGTACTTGTCCTCAAGGTTGTAGAAGTTGACGGAGTAAGAGTCATCACGGGAGAGCTTGCGGCGCTCAAGGCCCTCCTTGACCATGGTGCAGCCCCAGCACGCCACCAGCATGTACACCACGAACACCGCCAACACAACCCCTGACATAACATCATGCGCCGCTTATATAAAGATTTTATATATAAAGGACAGTAGAGAGCTATTTTCCAACAATTTAGCACAAGCATGTTTTAAATTTGTCAACTGAACTTTTAGTTTAATTTACCACTTTACGTTAAAATTAACAAGAAATGGCAACTAAAAAAATATACTTCGCTTCTGGAATTGTGATGCAGTCAGTTGTCAAGCCTAGCCATTACCTTTGATAACTGGTCTGTTGAGGTGGCGAGCAACAACATCCCTGAAGAATACCATGAAGGAGTGGTTCTGGTTGTCTTCAGTGTTCCAGGGGTCCTCTTTATTGATGCCACCCGTGCAGAACGTCCGGTACCACCACCCAGCAGTCACTTTACAACACAAGATTTATATTAACTCACTGTCATGGCAACTTTAGTGCAGTTTGATTTTTTTTTTTTACTAGAGATGAAGAGCAACATTGAAAATTGCCTTAGGGGGTAGAACATTAAGTTAATCACGATGATTATCCATAGGGCCCAAGGAAGGTGAGAAAGATTAAGTTGACCCTTTAAGTCAAACATGACTTTCAGCAACAAAATATAGACTGTTCACATCCCTTTGTTAAGCCGCCTGTGAACCTTTATTTCTATAAATTCTTACTCCATCACCTAATGGGAGTGGCGACCGAGTCAAGTCTATTGACCATAGAACTAGGTTATGTTCGTTGATAGCCACATTATCAAGGGTGGTGTACCCCATGTACGTCACTAACCTGCTTCAGAATTAGGCTTCACTTTATGGCAAGTAACGCCATGGCGCTGATCCGCCTCCATGTAGCCAGCCAAGGCCAGGCAACCCCCGAAGAAAGTTATATTCCATATGTAGGTGAAGGCCACCGCCGTGCCTGTGGAGACATTGTTCATTATATTCGAGAGTGAACACATCTTCACGCTTTACGTTATGAAGAGCTTTTATTTAAGGAAACTATTACAAACCGAAGTTCCATCCGTTCATTAAGAAACTTCAAGACCAGTGCACAAAGATCACCTATTTAGTACAGCACAAGGCTGTAAACCAACATCTTTTATATGTTCTTCACGAACAAGTTCGGCATATGCTACGAACAGTTTGCTTAAGAACGCATTAAATTCAGTAGTGTCTACTTTTAGAAAGCTTTGCCAGAGCCCATGTTTTGGTCAGTCAAGTTACTAAATTTAAGAAGAACTTTTCGTTTGCATACCTGTGTATATACAGAAGATCTGGACGCTGGGAAATGGACTAACGACGCCGGTGTAGAAGGAGATTATGTCGGTGATGGAGGTGATGGTGATGCCAACAGCGGCCTCTGAGAAGGTCTCCGCCATCCTCACCGGCACGGGGTCCTGGAGCCGTGTGCGCCGCCACGCCGCCAGCATCACGAAGGAGTTGTCTATACCAATGCCTGAAGGAAACAATTACGGCTCCAAGCCAATATTTTGTAGTCTTTAGTACATTAATTACCAAACTACCTCCATTTATGGTCGCTTACCTGAACTAAGCCCTGGGGGGGAATTATGCTTACACCGTTTGCGTTACAGAAGCTTGTGATTAAGTTTCAAGTACATTAGACGGTTCAACTTGCAAGGCTAAGATCACTAGGCAATGCATTTGCCTATACAAATTAATTTACATTTAATTGAAGAATTAAATTTCAGATTATAGCACTAATTTTTAAATGCAACCCTTACAAATACAATTCATGAAGGTTTTACTTGTTTAAGTGCTTGGCCATGTCTAAGTTTTTTTTTTTTAACAAACTTTGCGTTTTAGGGGGCCGGAGATGTAAGTTTTAGAGGTTCAGAACGGGCTAGGCTCCGCAAGTGGACGAAATAGATGAATATCAAGTACCTTTCAAGGTACTTGAAACCTTGTGCATTTTTTTTTACAAACTTTAAATAAACAAAAGTGTGCATATTTACCCAACATGAGGAAGGGGGACGCCATATTGATGCCGATGAACTTGAGGCCGAGGTACATGAGGAGGCCGAAGGCAGAGAAGCAGGAGAGGGCGGCGGAGATGACACTGGCGAGGCCTACCCAGGGCTTGGTCCGCACCCAGTCGCTCATCATGACGGAGCACACGCTGAACACCACAATGATCACGATCGTCACCACGAAGTACGGTACCACCGAGTTGGTGTTGTTCTCCAGCTCAGTCTCGAGCGTGCGGGATACGAACCTGGCCACGTCGATGCTGCCAAAGTCCCGATCCTGTAGAGCCTCCAGCAGTGCAGTTTCCCATCGTGTCCCTCTGGTGGCAAGAGGATAACCATCTAATATATAGACCCGAAATATATAGCCTCTATACATTTTAAGTAGAATCTAAAAAATGTATTAATAAATTGTCAACCATTACTCACGACAAACTAATCTTTCACATGTTACTACAGCTATTTTAAGCAAACACTTGTACTTACTTTTCTTTCTCTTCTTGAGTGTTGGTCCTGAGCCAGTAGTAGACGGAGAGGGCCTGGACGCTCTCTATCACACTGTCGTCGTCGAGGACCGTGCCACCGAAGAAGTACGGGAAGATGTAGGTCTCGTAGGTGACTGGGTCCAACATCAGGGGAAACGAGAGCCCTAGGGTGCCATTTTCAATAAACGGCATTGAATTTTGTAAATGCAAGACATTATTTTCAAGGCATTTACCATCCCAAATGGAACAGAGGTCTTCATACTGGGCCAACTTGTTACCGTCAACCGTGATATTCAGAGAGTGTATCGTTCTGTCAAGACTTACAATATCATCCCATACGTGGGATCGTAAGAGGGTCCCATTGTCCTTTGCTGTAATTATTAACCTGGCGAAACGCCCAGAACGAGTCAGGCGGGATGGGTGGAAGCTTGAACTGAAGTTTAGGAAGAAGTTTGCTTCAATGACTTCCCTTTCACTCCTTGCATAGCCCGTGGTGGGAGAGAAAAGGTACTCTGGGTCATCTTCGTAAGATATTCTCTGGAACCCCGTGGCAAGGGCGATAGTTATGAAGACTGGCACCACGATAAAGTAGCCATAATGGTTGGCAATGTTACGACCCAACCTGTTGAACAACCCATTGAGGAAGGCGTCAAACTTGCGCTGCCATTCGATACAGCCCATTGTTCCTACCCGAGGTGGTGCAGGAGGATGGTGATGTAGTGCCGGTCACACGCCTCACGCCTGGGGACAACACTACACGTTAATTATCGTCCCAGTCATAACATTGCCTCAGTTTGACGAGGTTGTCTAACCTAGAGTGGGATTAAAGTATTAAAAGTTTACTTTCACTAGACAACTGTATACAAGTTACATTTTAGAACGAATAAAGCAGATTTCGATTTAAGGTAATTTTAGAACAATTTAGAAACATTAAACCCAATTGCCAATTAAATAAAACTCATAACTTTCGATTCAAGTAATGAAATTACTTTTCTATAAAAACTACATTGGGCTGCCAAACAATCTGATCAATGCCGAGTGAAACAAGGAGCCCTCTGCCCCATTATCCAGTTATCAACCAAGTCAGATATTACGTATAAATTTTCGTAGTGTGAATCTTTACTTTTTAAATCATTGGACATCACCCACACCAGTGTTCGAACCTACTATCTTATTAACCACTGCATTGTTCCTTTCCAAGTACAAATGTAACTTATCAACCTTTGGTATATACAAATACCAGAATGTTCCCGCCTAAAGGAAGCTATCTTATGCAATGAATAACCAAGTAGTGTACCTGCAAGGTACAGATTATGGCACACGTTGCTCCATTTGAAATACAAGCGATTTCATGGAATTTTTTTGAGTGCTCCTGTAGGTACAATAGGAGAAACTCTTTACCGGTAACTTTAGAAGAACCTCAAGTGTAAGTACAGCCAATAAAACTTTGCTCGCTTGTTAGTGTTTCTCCTTTTTTAGCGTCTTTTAGACAATGTGTTGAAGGCCTGGAGAACCCTTGGGGACCAGGACCAGTTACGGAGGCTACAGCCTTTAAGGTTTCCGTTTCCTAACCGCGGCCATCTTTAGCAAGACTTATTACAAGTGAAGTTATACCGAGGCTAAAGGTGGTAATCCGGGGCCAAACTTTCAACTTCCCAGTTTTAGTCAATTAACAGTTTATTAAATTTAAAGTTATTACAGCATAAACAGGAGATTCACTCTGGACGTTTTGTAGTCTTACCGAGAACAGCCAGCCTGATAATTTGTAGATTGCTATATTTAAATTTACGTTTCCTAAAACCTTCGCTATTAGAACATTAATAAAGTATATTTTTATGGCATTTCTTTGCGTATTCAAAATTTTATACAAAATGTTCCTGTATAGTTTTAATTCTTACCAATTAATAGAATAGTACATGAAGATTAACGCCAGACTAACTTATTCAAACCAAAAAATAAAGTAAAATTTACTTAATATTATAATACAGTAGTACAACCCGATATTTACAAAATTTTCTACAACTTTCAATAAACTTAATCTGGTGTTAGTTGCAACAGGTAGTCTAGTCGTGTTTAGACACTAAAAACCATAAGCACAAGAAATGGTTTAAAAGCGTCTAAGTACGAGTAGTGAGAGTTTAGGATTAAACACCATCTGTATTTAAGCAAATAGAGGCGGGAAAGAAGCTATCTTGAGATGATTTCGGGGCTTTAGTGTCCCCGCGGCCCGGTCCTCGACCAGGCCTCCACCCCCAGGAAGCAGCCCGTGACAGCTGACTAACACCCAGGTACCTATTTTACTGCTAGGTAACAGGGGTATAGGGTGAAAGACTGCCCATTGTTTCTCGCCGGCGCCTGGGATTGAACCCGGGACCACAGGATCACAAGTCTAGTGTGCTGTCCGCTCGGCCGACCGGACCAATCAAGATCTTTAAAACTGCCAGTCACAAACTAAAGTGACATAATATCCAGTAACAAGTATAAGTACAGTTCAAGCTACACTAGTTCGAAAAGGTAGAGGAATTAATAAGTTACAGCTTTGTATCAAGTTCTAACTGGTGTTAGTCCTAACAGGCTTCGTTTCACAAAAGCTATTCTGAACTAATCTAACTGCAAGATCCTTGTGCACAACTGCAGCCAGTTCCCGGCAAATTTTAATCTATTCCACCTCCAAACCTGCTCCTTATCTTTCAAGTGTAAGAATCTAAGACTACCGGTAACATTTGAGGGAGTTTCATACTACCTTTTGTCCAATAGATTCTTTCACTGGAACAGCAGATACCCAACAGAGCTAACACCCAACTTTAGACGATTTCGGGGCTTAGCGACCCCGCGGCCCGGTTCTCTATCAGGCCTTGTTACACATCCCCGGGAAGCAGCCTGTAGCAGCTGTAACTCTCGGGTAACAGGGTTAAACATTTTGCCCATTTGTCTGCCTCCACCGGGGATCTAACCCGGAACCTCAGGACTACGAATCCGAAGTGTCATTCACCCAGCTGCCTACGCAAAGAATTTGTTCAAAATGGTAGTTTCCATAAACTAAAAATTGCTGGAACGCAGCAAGTTTTCGGGTCTATTAGATAAAGTGAACATCTTGGGAACGGGTTGCTAGTCTTTCACGTTACACATTTAAGTCTAAACTACACGAAAAGCAACCATCACATTATAGGGGGGGGGAATAGAAATAGCGAAAGCTACTATTATCTACTATTTTGATAAAAGATTTGTGTGGCCACTAATAATTTTCGTGCACGTTACAGTTAACACTTTAGTTGGACATCAATAATCAGCTATGCAAGCAGTTTTGAGCCGACTTGTTATGCCCAATTTAAGAGGGGATTATATAAATAAACTTTAAATACACTTCAGTTAAAACCACCTTTGTAGGAGGTGGTTAGTGCGCCAAATGAAAGTCAACAACGAGTGCAAGTAGTAATCAAGTTATAATTTCCTCCATGAAGAATGGGAATTTAGAGTTATCAAGTTAAAATAAAGTTAAAGCGTTTCCACCTACCAAGATTCCTGGATAAACTAGTTGCCTAGTATTTTTTTAAATTAAGCTCGGGGGGGGGGGGGGGGTGTTAGTAGCAACTATTTTAAGTTTAATTTAACATAAGCAAAATCTAGATTTATCTTTATGGGTAGGATGCGATTTATTCATGATTTAATTATTACCCATAATTATATTATAGGCAAGTCCGTAAATATTGGACTAATATTTTAAACCATAAGTATACACACCACTTACCTTTCTAACAGAATCAGAATCTTCGTTATAGATTAATCCGGAGCAGAATTATTCTTAACCGCGAACTGTATAACGCACGCCACTATACCATCACTACCTACATTAAACTTTAAAAAGCCTCCCTGTTCACTTGTAACGTTGCCACAGTACTGAAGGCGGCAAGGAGACCAGTACCAAGAGACAGGGGCGCGACGCCAGGAGCAGTAACGGGACGAACACACACTAGTCGGGTGAGGCAGTGATAGCCAGGTGTTCACTGCTCTAGATCAGGTGAAGTACTGACCGCTGAACCGCCGCCAGGTCAGCAGGTCGGTGCTGTCCTGACCCTCCCCCTCCTCACACTGGTCACTCCTCACACTCATATAGCCTCACACACAATCATGTAATCTCATAATCATGTAGCCTCACACTCACGTAGCCTCATAATCAAACGTAATTTCGTATTCACCAAAATTGATTATGTAAACCGTTGTTATATTGTGGTTCCGTGGGAAACTATACCTATAACAGGATGATTAGTGTAGTTTAAGACCCTGAATGGTTACCTGAGCATTGTTTGAGGACGTGGTTCTCAGTATAACCTTGTTTCTTTTCCCTTCTTTTACAAGGCAGTAAAGCAATGTATTTCATTTTATGGCAACAATTCTAAGTGTGGTGATACACGGTCCCCGGATGATGCCCCTGGTGGGTTAATACCTTGTTTGGCACTGTTCACTGGTGACAGTAGGGCGAGTCTCAGCTCCGTCTGAGTATATGGGACGGAATGAACAATCCAGCTGTGTCTGGGTGACAGGATGAACAATCCAGGTGTGTCTGGGTGACAGGATGAACAATCCAGGTGTGTCTGGGTGACAGGATGAACAATCCAGGTGTGTCTGGGTGACAGGATGAACAATCCAGGTGTTCCTTCTAGTGAGAGGGTGTTGAACAAGCTGCTATGGTGGTGTGTTCACTCACAGGATGAGTGGCGCTGCCCAATACTGTCACTGGTGGTGTGTCCACTCACGGGATGAGTGGCGCTGCCCAATACTGTCACTATGGCGGTGTGTTCACTCACAGGATGAGTGGCGCTGCCCAATACTGTCACTGGTGGTGTGTCCACTCACGGGATGAGTGGCGCTGCCCAATACTGTCACTATGGCGGTGTGTCCACTCACAGGATGAGTGACGCTGGTCAATACTGTCACTATGGCGGTGTGTTCACTCACAGGATGAGTGACGCTGGTCAATACTGTCACTATGGCGGTGTGTCCACTCACAGGATGAGTGGTGCTGCCCAATATTGTCACTATGGCGGTGTGTCCACTCACAGGATGAGTGGCGCTGGTCAATACTGTCACTATGGCGGTGTGTCCACTCACAGGATGAGTGGTGCAGCCCAATACTGTCACTATAGCGGTGTGTCCACTCACAGGATGAGTGGCGCTGCCCAATACTGTCACTATGGCGGTGTGTCCACTCACAGGATAAGTGACGCTGCCAATACTGTCACTATGGCGGTGTGTCCACTCATAAGATGAGTGGTGCTGCCCAATATTGTCACTATGGCAGTGTGTCCACTCACAGGATGAGTGGCGCTGCCCAATACTGTCACAATGGTTGTGTGTTCACTCACAGGATGAGTGGCACTGCTCAATACTGTCACTATGGCGGTGACTATCCTGTGTCACTCACAGGATGAGTGGCGCTGCCCAATACTGTCACTAAAGCGGTGTGTTTACTCGCAGGATGAGTGGCGCTGCCCAATACTGTCACTATGGCGGTGTGTTCACTCAGAGGATGAGTGGCGCTGCCCAATACTGTCACTATGACGGTGTGTTCACTCACAGGATGAGTGGCGCTGCCCAATACTGTCACTATGGCGGTGTGTCCACTCATAGGATGAGTGGTGCTGCCCAATACTGTCACTATGGTGGTGTGTCCACTCACAGGATAAGTGACGCTGCCAATACTGTCACTATGGCGGTGTGTCCACTCACAGGATGAGTGGTGCTGCCCAATATTGTCACTATGGCGGTGTGTCCACTCACAGGATGAGTGGCGCTGCCCAATACTGTCACAATGGTTGTGTGTTCACTGAAAGGATGAGTGGCACTGCTCAATACTGTCACTATGGCGGTGTGATCACTCACAGGATGAGTGGCGCTGCCCAATACTGTCACTATGGCGGTGTGTTCACTCACAGGATGAGTGGCGCTGCCCAATACTGTCACTATGACGGTGTGTTCACTCACAAGATGAGTGGCGCTGCCCAATACTGTCACTAAGGCGGTGTGTTTACTCACAGGATGAGTGGCGCTGCCCAATACTGTCACTATGGCGGTGTGTCCACTCACAGGATGAGTGGTGCTGCCCAATACTGTCACTATGGCGGTGTGTCCACTCACAGGATGAGTGACGCTGCCAATACTGTCACTATGGCGGTGTGTCCACTCACAGGATGAGTGGTGCTGCCCAATACTGTCACTATAGCGGTGTGTCCACTCACAGGATGAGTGGCGCTGCCCAATACTGTCACTATGGCGGTGTGTCCACTCATAGGATGAGTGACGCTGCCCAATACTGTCACTATGGCGGTGTGTTCACTCACAGGATGAGTGACGCTGCCCAATACTGTCACTATGTCGGTGTGTCCACTCACAGGATGAGTGGTGCTGCCCAATACTGTCACTATAGCAGTGTGTCCACTCACAGGATGAGTGGTGCAGCCCAATACTGTCACTATAGCGGTGTGTCCACTCACAGGATGAGTGGCGCTGCCCAATACTGTCACTATGGCGGTGTGTCCACTCACAGGATGAGTGGCGCTACCCAATACTGTCACTATGGCGGTGTGTTCACTCACTGGATGAGTGGCGCTGCCCAATACTGTCACTATAGCGGTGTGTCCACTCACAGGATGAGTGACGCTGCCCAATGCTGTCACTTTGGAGTGGCGCTGCCCAATACTGTCACTATGGCGGTATGTCCACTCACAGGATGAGCGACGCTGCCCAATACTGTCACTATGGCGGTGTGTCCACTCACAGGATGAGTGACGCTGCCCAATTCTGTCACTATGGCGGTGTGTCCACTCACAGGATGAGTGACGCTGCCCAATACTGTCACTATGGCGGTGTGTCCACTCACAGGATGAGTGACGCTGCCCAATACTGTCACTATGGCGGTGTGTCCACTCACAGGATGAGTGACGCTGCCCAATACTGTCACTATGGGGGTGTGTTCACTCACAGGATGAGTGGCGCTGCCCAATACTGTCACTATGGCGGTGTGTCCACTCACAGGATGAACGACGCTGTCCAGTAAAATAGGCTTTCGGGCCAAAAAAGTAACATAATAATTTGTTTAACCTATACTTCTAAAAGTATAGAAGTGTGCTAATTTCGTTATCCTATATTTCTTATTTAAATGGTTTAACTACTTAGTTAATGGGAATTAATAGTGATTGAGCTAGCCAATCCTAATGAAGCAGGAATTGGGTTGTATGTTTCACTGATAGTGTCATTCCTTAGCTGTGGGACTTACTGCAGTTGAATAAATAGTGATTGATTGAATGAATTGATTGAATGAAATATTATTGACAATTCTTTTGTCAATAATATTTTCAGATTTCCTTCTTGTGTCGCATTGATCCTGATCTCCCAGGCATATGGGTAGCCTAGTGTCGGTCACTAGGCTGTTCTTCAACTGTGACCTGTTCTACGCCCCAATTGGCGTCTGTTCTCAGTGCTGTCATAACACATGGCTACACTTGACAGATGCCAGGGGGCCCCCATGACTCTTGGGGCCACATGTTGCTAAAGTGTCCATGAGAGACCTCTTGGTAGAATGGATAATTACTCGTCTTATAAAAAGAGTAAATTACTCTTTACTCGCTGGAAAAGTCTGGTATTCAAATCGTTTTTCAAATGAGATTGAGACAAAAATAGTTTGTGCATAACTATCTGAGGGTAATCTTGCTCTTTAGTGGACTGGTGGGGCCCCTATCTGGGAAGGGGGGCCAGTGCCCATCATCAGGGTAGGGGGCCCCAGTGCCCATCATCTGGGTAGGGAACCCCAGTGCCCATCATCTGGGTAGGGGGCCCCAGTGCCCATCATCTGGGTATGGGGCCCCAGTGCCCATCATCTGGGTAGGGAACCCCAGTGCCCATCATCTGGGTAGGGGGCCCCAGTGCCCATCATCTGGGTAGGGGGCCCCAGTGCTCATCATCTGGGTAGGGGGCCCAGTGCCCATCATCTGGGTAGGGGCCCCAGTGCCCATCATCTGGGTAGGGGGCGACAGAGCCCATCATCTGGGTAGGGGGCCCCAGAGCCCATCATCTGGGTAGGAAACCCCAGTGCCCATCATCTGGGTAGGGGGCCCCAGAGCCCATCATCTGGGTAGGGGGCCCCAGAGCCCATCATCTGGGTAGGGGGCCCCAGAGCCCATCATCTGGGTAGGGAACCCCAGTGCCCATCATCTGGGTAGGGGGCCCCAGAGCCCATCATCTGGGTAGGGGGCCCCAGAGCCCATCATCTGGGTAGGGAACCCCAGTGCCCATCATCTGGGTAGGGGGCCCCAGAGCCCATCATCTGGGTAGGGGGCCCCAGAGCCCATCATCTGGGTAGGGGGCCCCAGTGCCCATCATCTGGGTAGGGGGCCCCAGAGCCCATCATCTGGGTAGGGGGCCCCCAGAGCCCATCATCTGGGTAGGAGGCCCCAGAGCCCATCATCTGGGTAGGGGGCCCCAGTGCCCATCATCTGGGTAGGGGGCCCCAGAGCCCATCATCTGGGTAGGGGGCCCCAGAGCCCATCATCTGGGTAGGGGGGCCCCAGTGCCCATCATCTGGGTAGGGGGCCCCAGAGCCCATCATCTGGGTAGGGGGCCCCCAGAGCCCATCATCTGGGTAGGAGGCCCCAGAGCCCATCATCTGGGTAGGGGGCCCCAGTGCCCATCATCTGGGTAGGGGGCCCCAGAGCCCATCATCTGGGTAGGGGGCCCCAGAGCCCATCATCTGGGTAGGGGGGCCCCAGAGCCCATCATCTGGGTAGGGGGCCCCAGAGTCCATCATCTGGGTAGGGGGCCCCAGAGCCCATCATCTGGGTAGGGGGCCCAGTGCCCATCATCTGGGTAGGGGGCCCCAGAGCCCATCATCTGGGTAGGGGGCCCCAGAGCCCATCATCTGGGTAGGGGGCCCCAGAGCCCATCATCTGGGTAGGGGGCCCCAGAGCCCATCATCTGGGTAGGGGGCCCCAGAGCCCATCATCTGGGTAGGGGGCCCAGAACACTGTTCTTAGGAGTGTTCCCAACGACAGA